TCGCTTAAAACTGCATTGCTGCTGGCGCTAGCATCAGTTAAGAGAGTGAGTGACCTAACCGCCCTCTCAGTGGCTCCTGCATGCCTCAGGATCCGGGAGGATGGCGGATCTGCTGTTTTATGCCCCAACCCAGCCTTTGTGCCCAAAAGCATTAATGCTTCCTTCAAATCCAGGTCAATTTCATTGGCTGGACTTTTTCCTCCTCCCCATAATTCTGAGGAGGAGGCGGCTTCTCACCTTCTCTGCCCGGTGCGCGCGCTTGCACGATATGTGTCACGCACTTCAGGGATTCGTCGCTCACAAAACCTGTTTGTGCACTACAGGGAGTCTTCCCTTGGTCAGGCGCTGTCGGCCCAGCGTCTTTCACACTGGCTATGTGACGCCATTTCCCTCGCTTACACATCATCAGGGCGGGATCCCCCTGAGGCACTCAGGGCTCACTCAGCCAGAGGGATTTCCTCTTCGATGGCGCTCCTCAGTGCTGTGTCAATGGAAGACATTTGTCAGGCTGCTTCATGGGCTTCACCCTGTTCCTTTACTCGTTATTATTTACGAGATGTGTCTTCAGGATCCATCACTCGTTCAGTGCTTGGACCCCAGCAGGCTAAATGAATGCTTATGGCACCTCATTGGCCTTGCTGAGATGGATTTCATCCTCTTGGATGATGTTTTTTAGTGGGGGCCCCTCTCTTATCGTGCCTGCCTCAGTCTTTAAGCCTGGTCTGAGGCTGAACGTCCCCCACTAGAGGAGATTTGCTTGGGTGTGTCCATTGGTTGTGTTAACCAGTGGGGCGTAAACCCATCCAGCTGTGCTTTATTCCAATAGCAGCTAGCTTAAGGGCTAAGACTAGACGAAATAGAACGTTGGTTAAGTATTGTAACCCCAGATTCTATGAGTCTAGTCGCAGCCCTTAAGCCACTGGCCCCACTGGTTATGATGGGAATAAGAGCCATTGGAGGTGAGCAGTGGGGTCACTGCGGTTATATACCACGAGGGGGGCCACTATTGGTGGGCGTACATTTAAGCTCTTCATGATTGGCTGATGCGGAGATCATCCTTCCAATAGCAGCTAGCTTAAGGGCTGCGACTAGACTCATAGAATCTAGGGTTATAATACGTAACCAACGTTTTTAATTTTATAAATAATGGGTTGGACGGATCTCTGTAGTTGCTCATTGTGATTATTCTTATTGCTGTTTTCTGTAAGATGTAAATGGAATTTGTGTAAGTTTTAATGTTGTTCCCCAGATTTCAATGCAGTAGTTCAGGTACGGCATGATCAGTGAGTTATATGACAAATATAGGGAATTATTATCAAGTAACCATTTTGCTCTATGTAACAGTGCAATAGTTTTAGATATTTTAGTTTTGACACTGTTTATATGTAGTTTCCAAGACATTTTTTCATCAATGATGACTCCCAGATACCTGACTTCTTTAACTCTTTTAATATTAATCTCATCTATATTTATAAAATTTCATCATTTGAATATGTATTACTAAATATCATAAAACATGATGTATCACTGTTTAATGATAGTTTGTTCCCATCAAACCATAGTTTAATTTTATTCATCTCTGTTTGTATCACTTCTATCATCTGCTCAACATTATCTCCTGAATAGTAAAAAGTTGTATCTTCTGCAAATAAGGTGCATTTTAATATACTGGATACCTCAACAATGTCATTTATATAAATGATAAATAGTTAAGGGCCCAATACCGACCCTTGTGGTACACCACAAGTAATGTTATTTATATGTGATTTTGTGTTGTTTATTTGAACATATTGCTGCCTATCAGTTAGATAACTTATTATCCATTTTAGGGCCATCCCTGTGATGCCATATTTACAAAGTTTTCTAATAAGAATTTTATGATCCACTGTATCGAATGCTTTTTTTAAATCAATAAAGATACTTATTAGATGAGTTATTTTGTCAATGGCTTCCGATATTTCTTCTGTTAATTCCACTAGTGCCATGGATGTTGAATGATTTGTTCTAAAACCATACCGACTGTCATTTAATATCTCTTCTTTGATCAGGAATCGGTCCAACCTAGCAATATATCATTTTTCTAGTATTTTTGAGAATTGTGGCAATAAAGATATTGGTTTATAGTTGGAAAATATATGTTTGTCTCCACTTGTATGAAGTGGTATGACTTTTGCAATTTTCCTCCAGTTAGGAAATGTCCCTGTTGCAAAAGATAAATTACATATGTAAGTCAATGGATGAATAATACTTTCTATTATATTTTTTATTAATGTTATGTCTAAACGATCACAGTCAGCACTTCTTTTATTGATGCATTTATTGATAATATTTCTTATTTCATCACTAGTTACTGGACTTAAATATATACTGGTTTTAATGCTTTTGATATTCTCGCCTGCACTATAATTAATTCTTTATGGAATGTTTTTTGCCAAGTCAGGTCCCACATTAGTAAAAAAAATTGTTAGTCATTTACTATTTTACTGGTTTCACTAATTTCAGACTGTCCATTTTCAAAATAATTTGGAACAGTTGAAGCTATTTTATTTCTTTTTATGTTAAGTTTTTCCATTTTCTGTTGATTTTTGATCTGGTGGTTTTTATAGACTGTGAAAATTGGCAGATGATCACTGATATCAGTCATTACTATTCCACTTATTTCTATCCCCTCTGAAGCATTAGTAAATATATTATCTATAATTGTTGAGCTATGTGCGTCAATTCTTGTTGGTTTGGTTATCAGTGGAAACAGACCCAGTAGATACATTGAATTCATGAAGTCGTTAGCTGTCTTTGAATTGTTTACATTTTCTAGATGAACATTAAAGTCCCCACAGAGAAATACATCCTTGTTACAGATTCGACCCAACATCTCAGTAATTGTATTTCTACATGATTCTACACAAGATCCTGGTGCTCTATAGATACAACTTATTATGTTTTTTGTCTTTTCAGAGATTATTTCAATAGTGATCATTTCCATTACATCTTGGATGGCTGTTGACATGTTATGAATGACTTTACTTTTTAAATTGTGACACACATACAGTGCAACACCACCACCTCTTTTATTATTCCGATTCATAAAGTACATTTCATACCCCTCTATTTGTACCTCCTCCTCATCTCCTTCCTTTAACCATGTTTCTGTTATAGCAATGATTTGAAAACGTTTTTTATTTTGTGTTAAATAATCCAATATTTTAAAGTAATTGCAATATTGGATTATTTAACACAAAATAAAAAAACGTTTTCAAATCATTGCTATAACAGAAACACGGTTAAAAGAAGGAGTTGTTGTTGGTTTAGCATCCAGGAAACAGGAGAGAACATCCCAGCTAGCCTAAGCTTACTGTTAGCATTAGCTACTCCACTACACAGCAGAACTCCTCCAGGCTTGAGTTATTGATGAAGATAAAACATCATTGTTGCAAAGCGAATGGAGTCAGTGGAGTCACGTTGCTGTTATCTAGTTAGAGGTGAGATGTTTGCGTATCATGAATGGTAAACCTCCAATTCCCGCCATAATCAAAAGGTGTGTTTGAAATAAAAACAGTTAATCTGTAGGATGTTCAGCTGTGGAAACCTAAAACAGACTCACTGTCATCTAAACACTGAACGTAAAAATCTTTTTGAAAGTATTATTTGTTTTGCCAACCAAAAATCAAATGTTTTGTTACATGTGGAAAAAATCTGTAAATCTGAACTAAGGGGCTAACTCTGTAACTCGTTCATTTAGGTGTGATTAAAGCTTGAATTATGAATTATTAAGGACATGTCCTTTTGACTGACAGGTAGCAGATGAGCTGTGAGTTCTAGCGCTAGCAGCTTGCCTCCTGCTTACAAGTGTTAGCCCAAAAGGCAGAGGGCAACAGAGTCACTCAACCTACGCTAGCTTAGATTAGCTCAGTTAGCTTGCACGCTGGTAAAGGTTCTCAGTCATTCAGCGTTTCCCAACCCTGGTCCTCAGGGACCACCGTCCTGCATGTTTTCCATGTTGCACTTTCAAACACCAGTATGTCTCTGCTGCCACACACCTGACTTAAATGAATGAGTGATTAACTGCTGCAACATTTGACTCCTGAGGAGCCAATGTAAATCAGGTGTGCTGAAGCAGAGACATGGAAAACATGTAGGACCAAGGTTGGGAAACACGAACTTCATGGTAATCCAAAGGGGGTCGAACATTTGGGAATATGTATTTTCCCCTCCCAAATTTACATTTGTCTTTTTATGAGACTGTTTTTAAGGCTTTGGTAAACATATGGCTGCTTAGGTAATTAAGTAATCTTGATAAGCATGGACATTTCAGCTCCAGGATAGTTATTGTGCATATCTCCATTACTGTAAATTTCCTCATGATGCGTTTGTTTTCAACATGAATTTCTGTCTCACTTTTGCCAGTAAATGTGATCAGAAATCCCCTATAATAAGTACCCTAGATTCCAGTGTTAGTAGCAAGTTCTGAATCATCACACACACAGCCGCAGAGATCTGCTGCTCACGTATGCAGAGCTGCTTTAATTTCAGAAGACAGCTAATTGCAGTTAGGATGCATGGGACGTTAAGCTGGTAAGTAAAAGGAAGTAATCAGTGCTGATTATAGAGCCTGAGCCTGATCAGAGCAAATCACGCTGCACGTCTCCCTCTGCTAGCAGGCATGGAAGTCAAGAGTGACAATGGAACGGAGTTTGTTTTTAGTGTGATTACGCCCAAAAAAGTAGTGCTGATTCAAGCTTTCTGACAGATTTGAAGGGATTATGGCTCACGAAACGCCATGGAAGAAATATTTTATATGTCAAAAAGGAAGATGTCTAATTTTACTGCTCAGCCGAAATGAATTAATCCCCTGCTAGTTGCTTTAAATTAATAATGTGTTTGTTTGCTTAAACCTACTAAATATGTCTGACTCTTTGTTGTCGTACAATAAAACCAGTTTGTCTGTAAACGGAGCAGCTAAAGGACACAATCAGTCATTAGAAAATCAAAATCACAACATGTTCAAGTAAGGATTTTATTAATAAATATTTTTCTTGCAACACAAGAAAACAAGAATATTTCATCAAAGCTTAAAAAAAAGTATGATTCTATGGTGACCTGGTACAGAAAAATAAACAAAAAGTTCAAACGTGATTTTGTTTTCATAGAAAAGGTTGTTTTGAAGCACATTTATTTTCTTTGACCTTTTTATATTTAAGAAATCTATTAAAACTTTCTTTCCTGACAATCTGATTTCATTTCCTTTGTTGAAGACATAAACACACAGCAATTTAAGCTGTTGTGCCTTATGGTTCATTTTCATTTTTGTGGAGCAAATATGAATTCTTCCTACAATGTGCCAGTAAAGTTTATTTACTAACAGTAAAAAATATCCTTGTTGTCATGTTTACAGCATTATATTTTAGGATTTAATCACTTGTGTTTATTGGCTGAGCACCAGTGAGATTAAAAACAGATAAAACCTCTAAAAACTGTTCAAAACAGTTGAAGGACGGTTGGCTAGCCAACACTGCCACCTAGTGGATATTAAAAGCATCTGACTTTAGATCCACTCACTAGTTCACCATGTTCAGGTATTAAGGTGCACATATAAGTAAAAAATATATATAAACTATATCATCAGTCTAAGAGGGACTTTGCTAAAAGGATCTAAATTTTGTTTGTGCAACACATCTTGTTTGTGATTATAAAATATTCCTATCAGTTAAAATATTTTTTAGGTTTTCTACAATATTTGACCCAATTGAATGAAAGGAAGTGCATACCAAATGTGTAACAGAACTACAACCTTGGGCATAAACAAAGCTGTCACGCTAATTTCAGGCAGTAATGGGGTTTCAGCGCGCTGCTATCGCGCTGGCCCGCCAGCGCATTTAAGACGTAGAACGTGTGGAGTGAATTTTTAAAAGCAGGAGCTGAAGCTTAAGAGCATTTAACAGTACATTAGTTGTTTAACCACCTGAAGTTGAAAGGAAGAACAAAGTAAAGTGGAGTGTGAAATCAGCGCCGAGCCTATCTGTATTTTAATCAAATAAGTCAGGCATGTTGTTGTAGCAGTACTCCTCAAAGCTGAATTCCTCTACCATGAAGGGAGCGTCTTTCCACTTCTTCACAGTCATCCTTCCAACTGGAGTCTCCAGGGCAAAGTTTTTAATGGCCATGTTTGGCAGTAAGTTGCTCTCCTTGTACTTCATTTCAAATCCCCAATCCTGTAAATACACAAAAACATGACACACTCCAGCAGGAGAGCTCTCTGGTAGGGGTTGCATGACTTAAATTTTTTTTAAGTCGACAGTCAAGTAATGAAAATCGAGTCGACTTTGACTAGTCGTTGATGGCCCACATTTTCTAAGTTAAACACATTTCTTTTAACAACGGTAGTTTCTGCTTCAGCCCTCTCCCCCCTCCCCCTGCGCAGCGGCCGCAAACTCACTGATGTGCCTGCAGCCTCTCAGAGTTCCTGCTACTCTAAACATTAAAATAATTATTTCATTTTCTGTTCCTCACTTCTGATTACCTTCAATGGTGTCTGTTTGTTGCAACCACCAGGTACAAAAACTAACTTGTTTTTATTTGACTATTTTTCTGTCCTGTCTGTTTATTATCTTCCTGGATCTCCTCTCAATCCTAAAGAGAAACTGCTACCTGGGTTCATATATATTCACCTTATGAGTTACCTTTGAACTGCAGTTCTTAAAGATCTACCGACCGCAAAAACAGCGGAGTGCTCACCGGTCGCATCAGTTAGGTGTGTCACCGAGGACAAAACAGGTGATGCGCCCCGCTCCACAGCAGCGAAACGCATCAGGCACAAATAAAAGACAGAAAACATGAAAGGAAATGATCCGACATGAACGATCGCGTGTTAAATTAGTTTTTGAGGTGGCAACACCTGATTTGATAATGCTACTGTGGCCATGCTCAGGACGTAGATGTCTGGAGTGCGTCAACAATCAGAGCTTTGCATGTGCAAGCTGGTTAAGATTAGGATGAGGGTGAGGGGAAGGTTACATTGCAAGAGGGTAAAGGTCACAATTTGGTTAAATGTCCGTTTTACGGCGAGTGTCAGTACCGACACTCTGGCACAGCGCGTCGCCTCCCGACGCGCAGGAGCTTGTCACCTGCTGTCTTTTCCGAGGACTGCATCTTGTCGGTCATTATCACGTGACAGCGACTAGTCGATGACAGGCATAAAAAGTCACTACAGAGCAGTGAAGTCGACTAGTCGACTAGTTCATACAACCCCTACTCTCTGGTGGATTTGGTTTTCATTTAGCAAAGTTCTAAAAACAAGTGTACCTTGTTGCAATTGCCATTATTACAAATAACTGTGCAGCCAGGCTCCCAGTCCTCAAAGCGTTTTTGCAGAAGCACCCTTTCACCTTGGCGGTAGAACTCCCTGGAAACGGATAGAAAAGCGCATTCAAGAACAGAAAGGATCACATGTTTACAGAACCTGCAACAGAGAGAGCAGCTCACTTGAAGTCTGGATTTATGTTGACATAGTGAGAATTCTCCAGAAGTTTGACGTCGCTTCCAGATGCCACTGCTTTAAAACAGCTCCTGCACAGGATCTTGACGTTGGAGGCAGCAAAGAGACCCTTCTTCTCTGTTTTACAGTCCTCTGATGTTTTACTGGAACTGACAGCCTCTATTTGAAGTTCGATTCTCTAAAGACAAACAAGAATAAGATCACAGGGAATAAGCATTGAGAATAAAGCCTGATTTACGCTTCTCCATCTGCATCAGTGCGGAGACACGCAACACCATTATCCGTCTTTGCGTAGGGCTCCGGCAGGCACGCAAGTACGTACGGAGTCGAGCCCACTTTTTTAAACATCCGTCGAATGAGACGGATAAACGCAAGCTTGTGATTGGTCAGGACGCCGCTGTTGTTTACAGTGCCGCAATTGCAAAGAGAGCTGAGGATAACTAGCGGCAGACACAGAGAAGCTTGAAGAATACCTCACGAAAAAACTCCAAAAATATGAACGTTTAATTTTCCCGTGACTGGAGGAGTGAAAAGATGCGCAGCAAGCGTTTTATTTGTGGACGGAAATGACAGGAAACGTGGGTTTAGAGGTGGGGGGCGCATGAAGAGGTGGGAGAAAGAGAGACAAATATGTCCGTGTTAAAAGTCTCTTATATACACAAAAAACACAATATAAACACACTATCTTGGACCGATACATGACAGGATACCACAGAACAGCGCTACGCCCTCTGTTGTCCTGCCGGGCAGTTGCTTTGCAACACTCTCCAGGAGACGGAGAAGTATGAGAGCAAAACACTTCCGTCAATCCGTGCGTGTCTGTCCCTTGCGGAGCTGACGGAGAAGCATGAACCAGGCTTAAGGGGGAAAGGGCCTGTTTAGAGCTATGCTTTCACCTTTCTGTAAAACTCTGCATCTCTCATACTCTGGACCTTGGCAATGGCCTTTTGGGTCAGCTCCTCCAGGAAATCGTTGATGTGTTCTCGGCGGAGCTCCGGGCCTCCTGCTTGAGCAACCACTGAATACTGGCTGTCTCTCGCTCTGGCTCGTCCACTGGCCTGCTGCTGGGCTATCTCGTTGGTGAGGAGTCCGTAGCGTACCACCAGGTTGCATTCTGGGATGTCAAGGCCTTCTTCGGCTACACTGGTAGAGATCAGGAGGTTGAGACTCCCCTTGCGGAATCTGCGGATCGTGTTTGACTGCTCGTTCTACAGAAAATGACATAAAATGAAAATATGTGAAGGTAAATGAAGGTTAAAAGGATAAGAGTTTAGTTCAGAGAAATTAAGTTTTCGTTAAGGGGACACTAGGCAGTTTGGGCTTGCTTTTAGCACCCCCTAGTGTTCCATTATGAAACCAAAAGTGAAACATCTCCTCGCTGTGTGTTTGTCTTTTTCACGCCTTAATCTAACAGCTGAAAGGTCTCCCAGCCTTCATTAGTGTCCACAGGAGTGATTCATCACTAAATTAAACAAATCTGCTGTGTGCAGGCTCACGTCAGCTCCACTATTAATAAATCCAACAGGGACCGGACCGGCACTCTGAAGTTGCAAATGTGATATTCTGGCCACAGAGGGTGGTAGGGGTGTGTGTGACAGTTCATGAACCTTGTAAAGGGTCATTTCAGCACATACTGACACACTACAAGGAAATAATTTGAAAATACTAAAAAGTTGCATAGTATGGCTTCAATCTCTTGAATTTCACATAACTCCATACAAATATTATTTAGCCTTTGAACTGCCATCATTTTCATATCACACTGCTGTTTCAGCAGAATATTAAAGAATCTCTGTCAGACTGGAATAAAGTTTATTCATTTTCTGAAACCACTTATCTCCGAGGGCGATACATGGTAAATGGCCTGCATTTGATATAGCGCCTTCTAGAGTCCTGGAACCTCCCAAGGTGCTTTACAACACAACCAGTCATTCACCCATTCACACACACATACACACTGGTGGGGATGAGCTACGATGTAGCCACAGCTGCCTTGGGGCACACTGACAGAGGGGAGACTGCCGAGCGACTGCCAACAGCAGGCAAGGTGGGTTAAGCGTCTTGGCCACGGACACAATGTCAGCGACAGACTGAGCGATGCTCGAACCTGCAACCTTCCGATTACGGAGCGAGCATTTAACTCCTGTGCCACCGTCGCCCACGGTGGTGCCTAACTCCATCAGTCACCGGACCAGGGACATGTCTCCAGTCTCTTACAGACACAACCTCATATCCTCACATCTAAGTAGAGTTTAGGGTTGCCAGTTAACCGGACATGTTTTGGTCTGTGGGAGGAAACCAGAGTACCCAGTGAAAACACATATGCTAACGTGCTAGCAACATGCAGAAAGGCCACAATCAGGATTCAAACCACGGTTAACCTCACCACCATCCTGCTCTGGTGCCTTTTTATGTGTACTTCACTGGAGGACTACATTTAAAGGGACTTTACAGACTTTTGAATTTTTATGCTCGCGATTGCCCACTCAGGCCAAAAGCGTAACGGCATCTTCAATAGTAGGCTCGTGCACAAGGCGTGCATGCTGTACGTGCACACTCCTTAAAGAAAATAACAGCTGAGACAGTCCCGTCTGTGTGTGTGTGTGTGCGTGCGTGCGTGTGTGTGTGTGGCCCGGAGGACAGAGGACAGGAGAACGTGCAGCTAATTAATTTAATAATTTGGTTCTGTAGCTTTCTCTTCAGCACAGCCGACAAAGGTTTATGATGGGTCAGTCCTCCTGCATGCTCAGATCATTCCCTTCCCTTGCTTGAAAAATTGTTCCAAAATGAAAGTTGAACCCACATCTTTTTTATCTGTGAATTCAATGCCATTCGGCGAGTCTCAAATAAAAATTTGGGCATCTTACTGTAAAAAATATACCATTAAAGTAAAAAATAAACTCTGAATAAACTATGTTCACATCCAGAATCGAACCCCGGTCTTCTGCATGAGAGTCAGACATCTTACAAGGTGAGCTACACTCTAGTAACATTCACAGTATCTATAACTTTTATATCCTTGATGACAGCTGAAACAACGTCAAACCAAAGAATGGTTTGAAGTGAAAATGGCATTTGTGTTGCTAATTTGCAGGAAATATCTAGAAGAAAGTTCCACAGAAAGTAGCTAAGGGTCCTCAGAAATGTAGCTACAGCGCTGAGTTGGCACTGCCTCTCTCTGCTGCTAAAGCTACGGATAGCAAATGCTACGGGCTATGCCTGAGCGTGAACGCGCATGAAGCAGCCTGCTCAACCCGAGCATCTCTCTTTTTCTGTGATTTTACAGAAAAACAGGCAATCACAATAAAAATACCAGGGCTCATTCTACAGGACCAGGGCATTGCAGGAGAATGTATGAAGAAGACATTTATTATTTCTATATATGTTTTGGCTGTCAAACTTCCATAATGCCCCTTTAACTACTTATAGGAGGTTTTCAGATGCACAGTACCAATATTTGGCCAGTGGGTGTCCCTAGTGGTTCGTGGTTTGTATCTCATACCTCTATGAACATTAGATTTTCAAATACACTCTGGTAAACAAAACAGCATAGTTTTGATAAAATTATTGGACTATTTTTTATTTTACAAAAGAAAAAGTCAGTTGCACAAGCAGCTTCTGTGCCTACCCCCTCTCTGCCTCAGAAGCTTCAAGCCACTACGATGTGTGATGGATGATGGTATTTTGGACTTGGTCCTATGCATCCATTACTCCATCAGTTCTAAACAAGGCCCCACAATGCAGGTGAAAAATTGAGGCCAACCCGGAAGTGAAATAAATTGCAGTTCCACCCTCATCCACTAGGGGCTGGTGTCAGAAGCGAGCAAATCCTCATTGACTCCCATGTTAAAAATACCAATTTCACAGCAGAAATAAACATGTTTACAGCCTGGTACCAAAACATGTTTTTGGTTTAAATGATCTAGTTTACACTCATGACAACTCTAAGGGGGCTGAATTTTTTTCTCACTCTTCTGTTTAAGTGTATTAAAAGTCTAAAATTCTGTATAATTAATGAGCATCAGACCCACGTGACCACAGAGCTAGCTCCGTGGAAAGGCCTCAGTAGAGCCTCGGTCTGGCCTGAAAACTGTTCGGTCATTTTCAGTCTCTCAACTTAGACCATTAGTTGTAGCGTTTGTGTATTCTTTTTGGATATTTGTTGTGCAATTGTTAGACAAAATGACTTGCTGTGGCATTAATTGCACTAATAGAGCATCCAAGGAGTCTCCACTTCATTTTTTTCAGTAAAATTATATTTATGTATTTTAGGTCACTGCCGAGCTGAGCTTAAATTTTGACATGTACTGTTTAACCATGAAATGTAAATGTAATAGGGTAAAACCCAGTGCATTTAACATAATGCTGCACTTTAGAAAATGGGTTGAAATATAACATGTTGGTGGAGCTCTCGGGAGACCGATGTTTTCCACCCGGTTCTCCCCTCCCCGCAGCCCGGCGCATCTCTGTCTGATCGCGACTTCTTTCTGGAGCGCGGGCTGCCGGCTTGTGAAGCTCTGGATGGAAACCGATGTTTTCCACCTGGTTTTCCCCTCCCAGCAGCTTGGCGCATCTCTGTCTGATCGCGGCTCCCATCTGCTGCGCGGGCTGCCGGCTTGTGGAGCTCTGGGATGTTAAACCTTTCCACCCGGTTCTCCCCAGCGGCAGCTCTGCGCATCTCAGATCGCAGCGGCGCTTGTCTGCTGCGTGGCTGCCGGCTTGTGGAGGTCTCGGAGACCTCTGTGTTCCACCCGGTTTTACCCAGCGGTCAGCCCGGCGTATCTCTGACTCAGAAGCTCTGGTGTTGTGCACAGTTAACTCCGGTTGTAGCTAGGTTGCTACCTCCGTTAGCTTAGCTCCCACCTCCGCGTTAGCTTTGAGTTAGCTTCAGGTTAGCTTGTAGCTAGTTCGACCGGGTGTCGTCAGTTGATCCCAGCCTTACAGCCCCACCCTCAGCTCCACCTCTCTTACCTTTTGTGGAATTGTCTGGGCTGGACGGAACCTGTGACACGGTCAAAATGGCAGTGGTGGCCACCTCCCATTTTTCTTCAAAAAAGTGTTATGTCTATTGAAACCCATTGTCCATATATGTATATGTTGATGGTTCTAAAGGATGCAATAATTCTCTGAACAGAGGCTGCTTGGGAAGCCCTTTCCTACAGCTTTGATCCACGGCCTACCTGTGTCATGTGAGTGTTGCCGTTCCCAGCTCCAGTCAGGATGTCTGCCTTGACGCCCGCTTCCTGCAAGGCCGTGTTTTTGGTGACCCAGTCGTAGAGGCAGTGGGTGCTTTTCCGGGTTTTAGAAAACAGGATTCCTTTAGACTGGACTCCTGGGGTGAACTGGTTTAACAGAACACTCTCAAGCTTGGCCATTTTGGGGTTCTCATAGACAACATTTGTGGCCAGATTCTTCAGCTCCACCTGATTTTCTGCGTCAAAAAGAAAATGTAAGTTCACATAAATTTAAGTCAAACCAAATAAAATAATGTATTTGCTTTTTTAGGCTCTTACCATTGAAAAGCCCCACCAGAAAGATGTCTGTTCCATCAAAGGCCTTGGCAGCCTTTGTGCTGTAGAACTCCTCCAGAGAACGAAATGCATCCATCATTCTCAGGGTGTCGTTGATGAGCAAGGCATCATTGTACTCCCTCAGATGGATTGCACATTGTGCTAGACGTCTGTTATTCTCTCTAACTCCTGGTTCAGCAGAAACACAGAGAAAGAGTGAAGATGCCTTCTCCAGAACACGTGAAAAAATATTATAATCATTAAAATAACATCCAGAAAGTTTGTGGTGAAATGTTTCACTTATATTTCCGATTTGTAAACGTTCTACTAAACTCGTACACACCAGATTGAACTGCATCATTTAAAGTAACGATAAGCTTTAAGCTAGAGCTTTAACAATGATCTCAGTGATTATTAATGCTAGTGTTTTTTTTACCTCGCTGTTCTAGAATCATGACATCTCCCTCATACTCTTGTGTGCCACATTCTCTCAGCTTGAAGTCGGGAGGAACATCCATGTACTCATGGATCTGCTTCATTATCCACTTCAAGCGATCTCCAAATGGATCCTAAAATAAAAACGTGCATTTTAATTGTAACCATGTAATCACAGCGGCAGCTGCTCTTGGTGTTACATTTTGAACTGGCAACATGATACAAAGGGTGTGACTGTTTTAAAAAGCAGGGACATCTGCTTACTGCACCACGTTTTTCCACTATGTCGAAGGTCTTCATGGGTTTGGGAACGTTTTTCTTCAGCTCAGGGACGTAGTTTTTAGTCGAGACAATGACAGAGTCCAAGTTGGCACATATCTGAGGAAGAGGAGGCAATGACGTTGCTGTTGGATGAGTTCCACGGGAATTCCCATACATGCTATTGAACATACCTGCAGAACGTGCTCCACAGCACAGTCCAGCGTGCTTTTTCCACCTGTCCCAGGTGATGCTGTGAGACCCAGGATCTGTGGCAACGGCTTCTGTCTCAGCAGCTTTTTCTCCACATAGCATCTCATGATCTTGTTGTAGACTGACTCCTTGTGGGTGTGGTGACACTCATCTATTATCAGCAGAGTGATATCTGGATGGGACCGTAAATGCAGCGTGTGTTAGCTTAACCTCTCCGTCAGTGGTTCCGATGAACTCTAGACTCTCACTGACCTGAGAGCTCAACGTGTTTGAACTCCTCTTTGTTAATCATGGCATTGTACAGGATCTGTGCCGTGCAGATGATCAAAGCTTTGCTCTGCACCACTTTCCCAAAGAAATCCTTCTCCTCGCTGTCTCCACTCACCTTCGCAAGCTGATAACGACTACCCAGAATTGGCTCGAATTCTTTGTTGTAATGTTGGTCCACAAGGTGAACCTGTGGTGGGGAATTCACCTGATTACGTCTCAAACATGAATAAATCTATACCTGGTTTTGATCCTGTCTGGTACGTACCTTGTTCACCAGGACCATCACCTTTGCATTGGCTGTGGTCTCCAGATGCTTCTTGGCCACATACACAGCAGCCCGGGTCTTACCGCCTCCTGTTGGGAGCCAAATGATCACGTTTTCTCCCTTGAGGGCCCTTTGCACCACCTCCTCCTGGTAAGCATACAGGCCAAAATCTGCCATTCTGTGTTAAACCTGATCAAAGACACAAGGCAGTTACAGTCGAAACAAACAGAAACAGTAGAAAAAGCTGCTGACATAAACAACCACTCTGAGACAGATGCTTGTATATCATTTCTTCAGAAAGTAAATAAGATATTTGAATTCACCAGCCAGTGGAGACGAAGATCAGTGTGGAGTCTCTGCTCCTTCTCCTCTGCAGCTCTACAGCGCAGGTGGTGGGTTTTAAACTCTGTTTTCATCAGCTGTCTGACGCTGAAATAGGAAAACGAAAGTAAAAATCACACGGCCACAGACATGTGGCCCTGCTAAGGGGGTTCCTGAAGGAGCAACGCGGTTCAGTCATCACGCAGTGACAGAGGAAACCGGATAACACGGACCCTAAAGACTGTTTACAGCAACTTCCTAAACAAACGCTACGCAGTTAGGAGTTATGTGTGTGTTCATTTGCTCCAACTGGGGCCTCTGGCGGAGATGTTCTGAGTGCTGAAATCGTCCTGAGGCGTTGGGTGTGCCCCGACTGGGCCCCTTCTGGTGTTACGTCACTGAAACAGAACTCACTGCTTGTTCGTGGTTGGAAATGATAACTGAACTGGCTCATTCCCCCTGGTGGCTTTTTTGTTTTCTGTTTAACTTTCTGATTCGAACAGCAGGTTGTTGTTTCAGCTGCACGTAAAACCCCTAAAGCTCCAACACGTTCGTTGAAAAAATATTACATCAGAAGCTTTTGCACAATTTACAGGAATGAACTGTTTAGTAGGGTTCGAACTCTTTTCTGGAAATGATTTTCCAGGACATTTTCAAGACTGAGTACGAGGTAAATAGGGCTGGGCGATATATTATTATCATATCGTGATATATTTTGAAACAGATCTGATATTGTACTGTTATATCAGTATTATAGCTATGCAAATACTGTTGTCTTTCACAGTGCCACCTTTCCTCTACTTGCAATGCAACACAACTGAAACAGACATTATTCTCTACTTCAGTTCTGCTATTTTACATGCTGATATGTTTAAAAGTTCAAACTCTTAACAGTCAAGCTTTATTCGCAGTCAGTCACTACCATCAGAAATATTAACTGTTATCAAGCTTGTAAATGAGTGCATCTGTTTCCAGAGCTGCGCTGCTCTGGGTGGCTGCATGTTGGAGTAGCTCTGTTGACTATATGTAAGTTTTGCCTTTTCTTGGGCATTTTTTCTTCTAGTTTCTCAAGAAAAAGTGTATTTTTTGGACACTTTACTTTTCTGTTTCTGGTGCTGTGAAGCTTGGAGGATTTTTACTGCTTTTTTTTTAAGCTTTTTTCACTTTTTGAGCATTTGTTATGATGTGTAACCATGGCAACAAGCTGGTTTACAATCGGTAGCAGATGATTAACAGTGGAAATGCTGAAATAATACCTCAACTGAAGCCACAAATCCCGAATGAGCTAAAACGCAAGAAGCGTGGGTGCAGAGCGGGAGCAAAACTGAGACAGAGAAAGAGGAAATTCAAACCATCTCTTCCATCGATCATAATGGGCAATGTGAGATCACTGGCCAACAAGATGGAGGAACTCCAAGCCCTTTCAAGGACTCAGCCAGAGTTTATGCAATTTCGGAACCGCTGGAGAAGATAATGCATAGAAGGATTCTCCAGAGAATCAAGAAAATGATGGACAACCCTGAGCATTCTCTTCACAAGACTGTCCGACAACGGGAGTGTCTTCAGTCAGAGGCTTCTTCAGTTTTGCTGCAACACTGACCGCTACTTCCTGCCAACAGCCATTGTAATATACAACAACTCTTTGTGTCACACCCTGTCCTGTCTCCCCATTTGGTTCAGCCTACGTCTCTGTTGATTGCTCCCACCTGCCTCTCGTTTCCCAATCACCCAAGCTCCCGGTCCTCTTGTATTTAAACCCCTCCAGTTCTGTGTCTCTTGTTGCCTCATTGTTTCCATGTCCTGCGTGCGTAAATCATTAAAACCCTTTAAGTTTTCCAGTTTGTCTGCCTGCCTGCTTCCTCCCCAGCATTTGGATCCTCACCTCTGCTCCACTCACCGGCACGTCGTGACAGAATGAGGCAACCCAAAAAAGGATCCAGCGGGGAGGTTCTCCCTTGGGAGTGCTTGCCCCAGTTTTTAACTGCGGACCACCGGCCGGCTCCTCTTCCTCCGGCATCGCCTCGCCGCAGACGCCAACGCCGAGCCCGGGCTTCGGCGATCCTCTCCACCCTCCCGGAGCCGGAAGGAGAGTTGGACGGGGAGGCGCAGACGGACTGCTCCTGCTATGTGGGCACCAGACTGGCTGTGTGCTCCCCCGGAGTTGGCCCATGGCATTTGGAAGGATGCCGGGCTCCACCGTCACCCCTTGTCCCCGGACGGAGCCGCGAGCTCGCAGCTGCCCCGGCTCAGCGCGCCGGCTTGGACCCGCCCCCAGTCGGATCAGCTGTCCCGTCTCCGGTCCAATCAGCGCCTCCGTCATCTGCAGGCGGAGGAACCACACCTACAGCCCAGCTGACAGAGCTCGCCTGTCTCCAGGCGGAGCTTGGCCGGATCCGTCAGCTCGTCAGCCTCTGGGAGTTCCAGCTGGACAACCTATCCTTTCCGTATCTCCAGGAGAGGGTTTCTGTCCTCGTCTCATCCTCTGTCCCAGACGCAGGCCTCCTAGAGCTCGTCGTCGCCTCCTCCTCTGCCACAGACGCAGGCTCCCAAGAGCCCGTCATCACCGCCTCCTCCTCAGCCACAGACGCAGGCCCCCAAGAGCCCGTCGTCACCGCCTCCTCCTCTGCCACAGACGCAGGCCCCCAAGAGCCCGTCGTCACCGCCACCTCCTCTGCCCCAGACGCAGCCCCCGAGAGCTTGTCGTTGTCTCCTCCTCTGCCTCGGACGCAGGCCCCCGGACTCTGCTGGTCCCTGCCTCCTCTCCATCGACCCCTCGGTCCCTTTTGGCCCTCCCTCCAGGTCCCCCTCCTCCCGCCCTGCTCTGTGTTCCTGTGGGCGTCTGGAGTCTGCCCTTTGAGGGCGGGGGTGGGGGGGGGGGTGGGGGGGGGGGGGGTTACTGTCACACCCTGTCCTGTCTCCCCATTTGGTTCAGCCTACGTCTCTGTTGATTGCTCCCACCTGCCTCTCATTTCCCAATCACCCAAGCTCCCGGCCCTCTTGTATTTAAACCCCTCCAGTTCTGTGTCTCTTGTTGCCTCATTGTTTCCATGTCCTGCGTGCGTAAATTATTAAAACCCTTTAAGTTTTCCAGTTTGTCTACCTGCCTGCTTCCTCCCCAGCATTTGGATCCTCACCTCCGCTCCACTCACCGGCACGTCGTGACACGTTGATGACTTGATTATTATTATTATTCAATTTTTGAATTGAATTTTGAATTGAATTGAATTATTCTGAGCTACTACAGCAATCAATTTCCCTCTGGGATTAATAAAGAATTTAATTGAATCTGCTTTAGGGGCGCCTCCAGAAAATTTTGATAGGGGTGGCCAGATGGAGCCAAAGAAATTTTTGGGGTGGTACACCAAATTGGTTGTTGTGGTAACTCTGGGAGAGTTTAGCCTGTGGCGATGTATTGCATTGCTCCTTTATTTGTTTTTATTTTAAAAAAACTGTTTGTATATGCACAAAACATTTAACTTTTATTTTATGAACACAAACATTTCAGAAAAAATACATTTCAGTTATTTAAAATGTTATTCCAAACTTAATTTTAAAATGTAGTTTTTTAGGTTAATTCACCTGTTGATGTGTTCACAAAAAATTATGGAGATAAAAACGTTTTTTAAATGGTGAGCAGCAGAAACGTGTATTTTTTTATTCTGATTATTTCTTTACTCATTAATTGTATTATTTTATTGTATGTTTTCTATTTTTTTTGTACAATTATGTCTTGAATAAATAAGATCAATTTATGGTTTGACTGAACATTAATATGATTTATTAACACAGGCTTTTTCCTGGAGGGGGGAGGGGTAGTAATTTTCTAGGGGTGCCCTTGGGGGCACCCTTGGCTTGTACCCTGGCACATTACACATCTGGTATACATACTGGCATAAATTGATGAGTTATGTTTTTTACTCAAAATCATTTTGATTTATCAAACCTTTGTAACCGTTTACTGTCAATTATATTGCTGAAAATGATTTAAATTTAGCCTGCTGGTGGATCTGAAGTAAAACATTCTGGCAAACTAGTGTGAAATATGTTGTAAATTCCAAGCTTTGGTGAAGTGTTATTTTCTAGAATCATACCTTATATTTTGTATATTTAACCAGATTGCTTAAATGTTTATTCATCTCCTTCTTTCTCTCTTGCACGTTCTCCACAAAATATTTCATGTTCAGTAATCCACATGACTAGGCAAATAGCTCTCGCTAGCTCCACAATCAAATCAAACCTGACAAATATTTATTTCAGACTCTTAGATAGTTGGTACAAAAATGTCTGAAGCTGAATCAGTTTTTGAACCCCAAATTTAACCAACTATTAAATCCTAATTGTGTGCCCAGCTCAGTGTTAATATCAGACATCTAACAAAAGTTTAGTAAACTAATTACCTGACCAGGTATTAAATATTCAACTGGTTATATTAATAGATCATTTTGTGGAAAATAATTTGATAGAGCATTTATTATGCAGATGGTTTTCAGGAACATAAATATTTATGTTAATTAAAATCTGCCTGACTTTAAATCCGTCTAAGGAGGTCCTGGTCCCTGGTGTCATGGAGGTACTCAAATCTCTCCACCATGTTTAGATCGAGATTCATTGGACCATAGTCGTGGAAGATTAGGACCAGGGGTGAAAGAACATCCCTGATGCAAGCAACCCTTCCATAGGGCAGTCAGGCTCAGCCTCTATATGAGATGAGGAATTCCATCATCCAGGAGGAGCTGAGAGTAGAGCCACTACGACTCACTGAAAGGAGTCAGTTGAGTTTGTTTGAACAAGATGCACTGGGAGGAGACCCCAGGACTTTGTTTGCTTTAGGAACACCTGAAGATTCCCCTAGAGGAGCTGGATGTGGTACCAGTGACCTGACCTTGGGTAAACAGATGATGGACAGGTGAGACTAAAGGTGTGACGTAAACACAGCCTAATGAAACGTCATCTTTAGAAGATCAGCTGTTAAATGTGATTAATGATTATACCGGGAAGCTTTTCTGCTTTCTCATTTAGACATAAACACCAGTAACAAAGACAAAACCTTAAACTGTGTAATCTGGCTCTGGGTGCTGTTTCTGATTAAAGGCGTGTTTGATGGTAAAACTGTAACTAAAGAACACAGCAAAAGGAAAATGAAACTTAGGGCCTCTACATTAGTGATGGGAATTCCAGCTCTTTTAGAGAGCCGGTTCTTTTGGCTCAGCTCACCAAAAAGAGCTCAGCTCACCAAAAAGAGCCGGCTCTGTCGGCTCCCAAGTGGCTTCTCAGATTTTCTGTTGCATAGAGTACATTTATCACCAAAAATAACGCTAAACTATATGCAAAATTATTTACTAACAGTGGCAGCTGGCCACTAGAGGGCGATAGGGTGCCCCCCCCCCCCAGTTTTCCCCAGTGTTTTTAAATTTTATTAAAAAATAAATAAATAAAATTAACAATAATCACATATTCTAAGTTAATTGTGTGTTTTGTAACAAAAACAAATCATACATATATATCTATATCATTGGTGAGAAGCTCCCTGCCGAGCGGTGGAGGCGACAGAAAGATCGCCCAAACAGCAGTGAAGCAGCCAGCCAATTGCTGACAAGAAAATCGAACGCATAGGAATGGGAATGCATCCAATCAGCGTCGTCGATTCGGAAGCCCGAAGGGCGATAGAGCTACCGCCAAGGCTGTTCGTTGGTGTTCGGGTTGAGCTTGACTCTTTTTTCTTTTTTTTAGCCATGCTAGCCAGAGCTAACATTGCCATGCAGCTCGACGAGGGAAACGGAAGAAACGGAGGACGTTTGGCCAGGGAGAACAACAGCAGCTGGGTGCAGAGGTAAGCTGTACATTACATTTCTGTGAACAAGACAATCAGAATCAGAAATCCTTGGTTGTTCCACAAACCGGGACATTTGTTTAATAACATGTTTAATGTGCAATAACTGTAAAAACTCATTTCAACACACATACTTATTATACATATTTAATCATGTAAATGTGTATTTCATGTAAATTTGTACATACATCAATCTGATTCCATTTGACTTGTTACACTTCTGCTGCAGCAAACAAATTTCCCAGGTTTTGGGACAACAAAACATTTCTGATTCTCAATCAGATGCAGGGTTTCCCTTACATAGGCTTAGCCGTGGCGGGCCGCCACGGCTGAAATCCCACCGCCACGGCTACAAGATCCCAAGTTTTTTTTTTTTTTTTTTTTTTTGCGCTGTTTCCCGAAGAAGCAGCGGGAACTACTCTATTGTCGCTTCTGATCACAGCCGGCGGGCAGCAAGGAGCAGCAGGCAGGGCAAGGTGCAGTTACAGCATAAGTTTAAAATTAGAAAGGTAGCAGTAGTGGATATAATGCTTTGTGGTTTACATGTTTCAATAGCGTTAAGATAAACGAGTGTTGACGACCTTGACAGGGTTTCCTCCAGTGCTTATTAGGCTAGGTTCTCCTCCCCCCACCAGGCTAAGCGTCACTTATTCATGTAAAATTTATTTATTTATTCGTGTCTGACTTTAACCGCATTTAATACTGTATTACGGCGTGAGCGCAACAGCGACAACGTGTGAGCAGCGTGAGAGGTCGGGTGTTTCATCTGAACCCTTAAAACCTCCAGCAGGCTACGTTGCACTATTGATGTGTTAGCGCGCGGCGCTAACAACTTAGCGACGTGACATGTCTCGGAGAAAGTGTAAAACCACGTTGGACGCTTCTTCTGAAGCGGGAAAATAACACTTCTTCTTAAGAAGAGCACGACGTCGCCTCGGCTCGTTCACGGCCGAGCCGGTGTCGGACACCGGCTCGTTCACGGCCGAGCCAGGGTCCGACACCGGACTGGGCTCGATAACACTGACCCAGCACAGCCACTGGGTCGTTGGAAACTGCCCCGTGACTGCCTGATGGAAAACCAGCGGGTTTCACCAGACTCGTAAATTTCTTGTTTTTGCGGTGAACCCCCTGTATTTTACCGCTCCCTCCTGCAGTCTTTCTCTATTAAAATTTAAAATGATTCTGTAAATTCCGTGTATCAATAGAAAAAATCTCTGCCAGCTGCAGTAAATGTAGTTTCCAAATAATAAGAGGTGCATTCATCTGTGGATCTCCTTTGATCCACATTAGTGATATTCTCAGCACCAGAACAGTGAAGCAAAGAAACAGATTATAATTAAATATATTTATAATGTTTACTGTAATGCTTCTTGATGTTCTTAACAAATAAATTAAATCAAAGATATTGGTCAATAATGCCAAATATGTATATTTGTGTTTCAGTCATTTTTATACTGGCTTAAAAATACTTCATTGAGTTTACTAAGCAGGGGTGTAGAACGTGTTTAATAGGGCCAGCCCAGTAATGATCTTGGACCAATTTAAAGGAGGCAGAAAGTCATGTTAGCTTAAACAACTAATGTAGCTACCCACTGTACATGTATTAATCATGAGTTTCAATTTCAGATGAGCCTGCTCAAGTATTTTTCAAAGAAGCGAAAGGCAGAGGAAGATAGCTCTGGTCAGGTAATAGAACCAGTGCCACACATCATGCAGGGTATGTTGTCAAATAATGTAGGCTAACTGATCTCATATTCAAAAAATTAAGCAATACAACATGAGTGTGAACACTATTACTTTTATACAGAAATTCAACAATATCTTATACGGGAAGAACCTCAACCTTATTTCCAGTTTGAAAAACATTTATTTACTCACCAAGATAACATATGTGCTATTTGATCGGTAGATGATTTGAATCTATAGGTTGCCTGTAATTATACTTAAGATCCAGCAGGTGTCGGTAGACCAACCTGGTAGCAGCACAATTTTGGCACAATATCAACACAGTTTGGGCAATGTGATGAAATGCTTCATGAGGCCTCATCTACCCATCACTACTATGGCCCATGCATGGTCTGAGCAGAACCTTCACTCTGTGCTCTGCAACAGTAAAAATCAAGCAAGTAATGTTTGACAGGCAGGAGAAGAGTTAGGTGCAGCAGACACAGGGGAAGGAACAGGGATGCCGAGTGGTGAAAAAGTTACAGAACCAAGTGGCGTTAATGGAGTGGGAGAGACCAGTGGTGAAGACACCAGTAGAGGAGGGCCGGGAAAAATGAGTGGCCCAGGAGAAAACCCCCAAGACAAGCACAGGTGTTCAGGATGGGATCCTACATGGGTCAACAAAAACAGCAGATTCCATTCTTGGCTCTTTCACTCCACCAATGGTGAGTGTTGTTTCCGCTTCCCTGTATTCATTTGGGCAAGTTGTTTTTTTTTTGTTTAATGGTGAGCAGCTGATTGATCATGTTAATTATACATCATTTCTATTCACACTATGTAAATGAATTTGGTCAATTCTGTAAGAAATTCAGGTGTACACAGATGTGCAATATATATTGACATTCATGAATATCAAATTTAAATAAGTAAATTCTGGTAATTTTTCTGGTTCCCTGCTGGCTCCTGGGAGTTATTGTTAAAAAGTATTGAGACGGATCATATCTGTATTTTAATATTTAACAAATAAACCTGAATTGAACCTTTAGTCACTGGTCAATGATACCTTTTAAATGTTGTCTCCAAGGGATGTTCTGCCGTTTGTGCTGCCAACACAAACAAGCACCTAAGAGAGGAACATCAAAGCGGCCATTCATTGAGGCTGGATGTCAAATTTACCGTGTGGATTACCTTGACAGGCACATGGCTACAGAGCACCACAAACAAAGTGTGGGTTTGCATGCCTTACTGGCACAAGGTAAGCTACAGCAATCCCACATCTAAATTTGTCATTTAAACTCTGAAATCATTTAAGCATAAACAGTTTTGTCTTGTATTTATTTACACATTTCTAGGCTCAGCAGTACTGGATGCCTTCGATCCAGTGATTTATATGGAACACGAGGCTATCATGGGGGGGTTTAAATGCCTATATTACTTAACAAAAAAAGAACAGGCACACCACACAAACTACCCAGCACTTCTGGAATTGGCAGAGCTGCTTGGGTGCGATTACTTCAAAAAGCTTAAGGTAAATAAACTTTCTTGCTATAATATTTGCAAATATTACTACTAGTCAGATTGAGTACATAAGGTAAAATCCAGATTGATTTTATTTGTTCACAGATTGGGAAAAGAACCAACTATAGAGATCACATCGAATTATTGACGAGATGCTTGAGATTTTGGCTGCAGTGGTGGAGGAGCCCATTCTTAAGGACATCCAGTCTTCTGTGGCTATAGGGCTAGAAATTGATGAGAGCACGGATGTGTTCGTGACAAGGCAGCTGGATCTGCATGTCAGGTATTAAGATGAGAGGACAATAATTATTGGCTGAATCAATAATACTAATAGTAATGTTTTTACTTGGTCTTCCAGATATATGGATGCAGAAGGCAAGCTTTATAGTCAGTTCCTTGGCTTAGTGGCATTGTCTGATGGGAAGGCAAACACCATTGTGGCAGCTCTAAATGAAGTGCTCGTCAAAAAAAAGGTCCCTACAGAAAAGCTGTTTGGACTGGGAACAGATGGAGCAGCAGTAATGACTGGTACTGTATGAACTTGTTTACACAGAGTTGTTTTTTTTACTGTCAGTGTTTTTGTCAAAACTGATCAACAGTTGTGTGATCAGATGACTAAATAACTAAAATAACCATAGTACCACTAGCAAGCATGGAGGAAGTGAGTGGCCTGTATTTGCTTCCTTTTTGTAACAGGGAGGCTGAGTGGTGTAGCAAAGCAGATGCAGGATTCCTTGCCCTGGTTGCTGTCTGTTGCCTGTGCTGCTCATCGCCTCGCCCTGGCTTGTAAGGATGCTTCATCTGAAGTTCCATACATGGGAACATTCAGGGATCATCTACAAAGTCTCCACCTGTATTTTCACAACAGCGCAAACAGAACTGCAGTTCTTAGAGCTGCTTCACAGGTCTTGGGCCTTGACAACCTGACTGTAAAGGTGAGACTATGAACACAATTTTTATTGACTAGTGTTGTGTACTTTTGTTCTTGTCTTAGTAACTTCTTGCCTTGGAAATTGATTATAAATTTTTTTAGGAAGTGAAGGACACACGGTGGCTGTCTCAGCATCTGGCAGTGAGCAATCTACAACGCAACCTTTGCGCAGTGCTTGGTGCCTTGGCAGAAGAAGTGGACAGTAACAAATGTCCGCTTGCAAAAGGACTGTACAGTTACTGTTGCAAATACAGGTTCGTGGCTGCAATATATCTTCAAGCAGATGTGCTTCCCCATCTAGCACGACTTTCAAAAATATTCCAAAAGGAAAACGTGAACTTCCTAGCCATTAAAGACCAGGTTAGTCCATCACAACACGTCTTTCAGTATGTCTCTTAAAGTTAAAAAAGAAAAGATTCAAACCAGTTAATGACAGTTTACAGAATTCAAGATTAATTTCAAGCATTTGATGTGCTTGCTCATTACAGGTTCCTGTGACGATAGCATGTTTGCAAGACATCAAGGACGCAGGCAACACAAAGGCAGGTTCCTTCTTGGCTCAGCTCCAAACTGACCTAGATGATCCCACAAGACTAGGGGCATTTGGTATCCTCCCTGAGGAGGAGAGGGGGAGGAGAGGCAGAGGCCAGGAAGAGTACTCCCAAGACATGCTTTGGCCCCGATTCAGATCAGAGGTAGATTAAAAAAAATCAATGTAGTGTCATTCAGTGTTAGAAACATTGGCATGGTCATACTATGTGCATTTTCAATTATTTGTGATCATTTTATTTTCGTAATTATTGCTAGGTTATGGAGCCTTATATTGATGCTCTTCTGGATAGCCTGGACAGGCGATTTCAAAACATCGATGTAATGTCAGCATTTCATGTGCTGGGACCTCAAACCTTGACAGAGGATGATGCTGTCGCGACAGCTAATGTCCTTACCCTCTCCAGGAAATTTCTGCCACAGCAGCCAGAAAGTACACTGTTACAAGAGTGGGCGTCATTTAAAAAACATATGGTGACCGGGGCTTTCAAGGTATATTCTAAGATAAAAGTAAATTTTACTGTTAAATGTGACTGATAAGCCTATTTTAATGTAACTTCTCCACTTGTCACTCTGTGTTTGGTTTTAGGATTTGGACCAACTCAGTATTCTGCAGAAACTCTCAGCACAAAACGATGAATGGGCCAACCTCTACCCAATGGTCAGCAAACTTGCAGCCATTGCCATGACAGTACCAATATCAAGTGTTAACTGTGAAAGGGACTTCTCAATAATGAATAGGGTAAGACATTTAAAGAGATCTTCCACCCCTCAGTAAAATTTTGTCTGTTGTTAGATTCCTAGAGTTAGAAATTAAAAGAAACATTTGTACTCTTTAAGGTAAAGACTGACTTGAGGAACAGGCTGCAGGGGGATCATCTGGCTGCATGCCTGCAGCTCAGCATCAGTGGGCCACCTTTGGGGGAATTCCCCTACCACAGGGCCCTGGAGATGTTTTGCAAGAAATCAAGAAAAATTAAATGCCAAATCCCACCCAGCAAAGTGTGTCAGTGAGAGTTTTGAAAAAAAAATATTATTGTGCAAATAATAGTGTATTCTTCAACACTAGTTATTTAAATGCAGCAGTTGCTGGATAGGTGGAGTTCAAAGTGGAGTGTGTGTAAGTGTGTCTAATAAAACAATATTAACTTAAAGGTGAGACGAGTCATAATCCCCCCCCCCCCCCCCCCCCCCCCCCGCTGGCCGGCACCACCACCACAGCTGGAAAAATTCCTAGGGGAGACACTGAGATGTTTTTATTTCAAATGTAAAAACATCTGATTGAGAATCAGAAATGTTTTATTGTCCCATACCTGGGAAATATGACATTTGTAAGAGGATACTGATGACATTATTTCCTATGAAAGTGTTTCCTATGTACTTATCTGTTGTTTTTTATTTATCTACTTTAAAGAGGATTAAGACTTTCCTTGAGGAACACCATGACCATGACACAGGATGGGCTGAATGCTCTTGCCATGCTCTCCATGGAAAAAAAGCTTGTCACAAACATTCCTGACTTCAATAAAAATGTCATCGAGAGCTTTGCCACTCAGAAGGACAGAAGGGCAACATTTCTGTACAAATGAGGTATCACACACACACACACACACACACAAAAGCATCCACTTGATCTTTGTATAAAGTTGACCTTGGCACAACACTCCAGAAATATTTAACAGTGTAAATTTCTGGCATTTTGTCTAAGTAGTGTTTACTACCATTACTGTAACAGTGACCTGCTCATAATTTTTCGTGTTCACTCAAATGTTGAAACAAAATGTTTTTGTTACTTGCCTCTTGCATTGCCTATTTACCATTTATGGTCATGTTATTTTATGTGCAATTTAATGCAGTATTTTTCTACCTTGGTCCGCAAGGCAGCGTGCCAATAGTCAGACACACCTGGATTAATCAGTTTGTCCAATGATGTAAGACAGGAAATAAAAGAGCTGTGCTTAATTCAGGAAATAGTGGAGTTGTGCATAAAGCTCAGAAAGCACAAGTTTGTTTAAAAATAAAAAATAGCACAGCCCCACCAAAAATATTTGTCACCAGCCGCCACTGTTTACTAATGTAAAAAAAAATGCTATTGTAACCGAGCCTAGAAAGAAACGGGAGAAGATAGAGGATTGTGGTTGCTCAAGAAAAGGTTGATAACCGTGAACTCTCAGGGTCGCTTTATTTTAAATAACACCATTAACAACTCCACTCCAACTTCTGTTTTTCTCTTTTCAAACATCACATCCTGTCAGCAGCACCTTCAAAATAAAAGTCCCATAAAAGTGGGTTACACTATATATCAAATACTTATCATTTATATGGATTTATTTACTGAACACTTTAAGAAATCTCAACTTTCCGACTGCTGTCGCTCATTTTCTCACCGTCTTCGCCGCACTCTCCTCTCTCTCGCTCGCCTTTTTCCTCCTCCTCATTCCCTCTCGTCTCCCTCCACCCGCATGTGCTCTGCTGTGTGTCTTTGGCTGTGTCTCAATTCAGGGTCTGCATCCTTCGAAGGACCCAGCCCACCCGGCCGACGTGGGCTGCGTCCTCCGTCGGCCGGGTAGACCGGATGTTAACGGCTGTGAATTTGGACAGGCCTAGCCTTCATGAACTCCCTCGGTCGGCGAACGTTCCGTCGCCTAGCAACCGTGGAACCGTTGGGCAGAAGGGAGAAGGAACTTTAAACGATGGAGGTCGACGTTTTATTTAGCTTTTTAACCCCCAGAAACCCAAATTTAGAAAACAACTGCTAAACCTTTGTTTAACCTTTCACATGTTGTTCTAGGAGGCCAAATAAACGGGCCTATTTACACATTTTAACAGCCAATAGTGTTGCAGAACTGAACAATAGGACCTATTAGCAATGTAAATGTGGTTTTAAAAAGAAAAAAAAATGGGTCTGGTCCTCCCTCTTCCCCGCCCCTGCTGCTCTGTGTGTGGACAGTCTGGACACACAGTTACACATGTTGACCAATCGCCTGTAGCTTTCACCAAAGTAAGAGGGGAGGGGACGGCTCCAAATGACGAGCCGGCTCCCGTCGTTCACTTCATAGAGACACATCACTACTCTACACTCTGGGCAAGAGCTACAAAACAAAACCGCACATAAATATTTATTAATGTTTTCAATTTATTAATGTTTTAAATCAAATATGGCTTCACATGATCCCATTTACTAAACATTTCACATAATCCTGTAAACACTCAAATAATTCAAATCAAAATTTGTTTTTCTTTTATCTCAAATCAGTGACTTTTATCAAAACGTGGCTAACACTTTACAATAAGGTTCCCTTTATTAACGTTAGTAAATTATTAAGCATTAATTAACAAAGGATCCCTTTATTAATGTCCCCAATAAGTGTCCTTAAAGGGCTGGGGGGTGTCTGCTTGGTATTTATAAATTGTTAATATTTTAATAGTTAATTAGTGCATTATTATGTATTAATTAACGTTAATAAAGGAACTTTTATTGTAAAGTGTTACTGAAACTTGTAAAAAATATTTTTCTGATTGAAAGTTTTTTTTAGAAGGAAGTTCAGCTACAACTACCCACATTTATGAATTACTACTTGACTGGAGTCCAAGGCAGATTTTCTCATCCTTGGAACCAAGTGAGTCAGTCACCCGGGGGTTTAGATCCACGTTTATTTACAAAATGCATCATCATGAACAGTGTTACAGTAAACTCAACAGCATAAAGCTGGACTCGCTGTTCGCTTTTGTTTAATTTAAAAAATGTGAAATGCGGCATCAGTGGATTTAAGGTGAAATAACCCTGAATAATGCTGACATCACTTCAAAGCTCTTCATTCATGAAGAAGAAAAAAGCTTTCGATGAAACGTTCAGCTGAATCATGCAGTGTTTGCTGTTTATTCCCCTGAAACGTGTTTACAGCTCAGGAAGCACCTTGACACGATGGATGAAAAAAGGAATAAATAAAACCTTAATTTAATAAAAAGGAAAAGAAACGTAGCTGCTAAAACTGTAAATTCAATTCAATTCAAAAATACTTTATTAATCCCAGAGGGAAACTGATTGCTGTAGTAGCTCAGAATAAAAACGGCCATGCATTAACATCCACTTTAGCTTGTGTGATGAGAGGAAAGCAGCTCTTTCCAAAAGCATTCATCTCAATGTTTAGCTCCTCAATCTAGCAGAAGCACGGAGCAAACACAAAACACTGGACTAACTCCCATGTGTGTAACACGTGACATCACTAAAAAACTCTGTCCTAGCAGTGAACCACCACGTTCGTGGTAAAAACGTCACGACATCCGACTAACTTGGAATGGTGCAGAAACATGTCTAAAGTGGAAGTCTATGATCTAAACCTAAAATCGTTTTTCTGAGTTTTGTTTGGCACCCATGGACGTAAATTTTTTGGGGGGGGGGGGGGGGGGGGGGGGTCCCCACTTTTTCCAAAGTCAAGTTTTGACCCCTGCACTTTTTACCATCCAAAAACAATATTACGCTATGTTAAATTGACACTGGTTGATCTCTAGGACCAAGCGGAAAACAGCCGTTTGTGTTAAAGCCAGTTTCCCATTAGAGCATACTGTAAAGATATACCCCCCCACCCCCACGTCCCCCCCACTTCTAAAACGACAATTACGTCCATGTTGGCACCCAAGGACCGAATTCAGATAGTTGTAAATCCAACCTCGAACTCTAAAGGACCGTTTTCCTACCGCGGTGAAGTTAGCTTGAAGTTGGACGTTGGATATTCGACAGACATTGGTTTACACGGTCAGCGATAAGTCTTCATGCCGTGCACAGCGGCACAGACAGCGGTAACCTGAGTTCCGAGGACTCGCTAATGGGAATGGTGGTTTTAATAAAGTGATTTCTTTCAATACACGTTTGAGAACACGTGAAATGTGTTAAAATTGTTGTGTCTTGTAAATGTAGTTTAGTAACACAAGTCAGAAGTAATTTTGAGTCATTTAGAAAGTTATTCTGGAAGTTTTACTTTTTTTTGTACTCGTTTACAAAGGACTACAGATTTGTTGATAGTCCCCAAGCGAACCGCCGTTCCCATTAGCGAGTCCTCGGAACTACCGCCGTCTGTGCCGCTGTGCACAGCATGAAGACTTATCGCTGACCGTGTAAACCAATGTCTGTCGAACATCCAACGTCCAACTTCAAGCTAACTTCACCGCGGTTGTTTACATGTCGAGCTGTACAAATTATCTACAGAAAAAATGATTTTTGAAGCAAACCCTGAAACTGTTAAGTCACCTGATACATTTTTATTTATTTACATTGACAGTTCAGCTCTTTTGATGTGGGTTTCTGTAAAAAGGTCTGGACATCATCTTACCCGCCTTAGATAGTTCCTCGAACGGCCTCAGGCAGTAGAAACAGAGATGCACAATCATCAAACCGACGAGCTAATGAGACAAGTGTCGTCAGTATAACTCCAATCTCAAACATTTCACATCAGTCTACAAAGAGTTGTCCAAGTCAGGTTTAGGGTGAGTTTAGAGGTATCCCAGCGCCTCACTGTGGCGATTACACATACATGCAGACCAGGGGCGGTTCTAGACCAAATTTTCCAGGGGGGCCACAGTGGGGCCAGTATTTTTTCATGGGGGTGCATGAAAAAAAAGGGAAAATTTAGGGCAAAATCAAAAATCATTTTTGTCTCCACCATATGACTAATTTTGTGCTTGTGCACAATTTTCCCAAAGGAAATTCCTAGTACTGTGAAACTACTCACTTTGTTGTTCTCTTTTTTTTCATATCTATCTTTACTATGTTTTGGGGATCAAATTTATCAAAAATTTTCCTTTACTTTTTTCATCTATGATCTTTTACAGCTGTATTTTACTAAAATAAGAATCAAATAAATTCGTAATAAAAGACAATGAACAAGTAAACTATTACAGCGAATGCAGTAATGGTTTACTTGTGAAAGTAAAACTGGCATGTTTTTATGATACTCAGATAACAATTCTGAATGCTTCACCGCAACATGAGACTTGAGTAAAAAAATAATTCTAGTTGATTATTATAGTTTGTGACTATTTGAAGATTACATCCGTTAGTCGTGCTCAAGAATTTCCTCGGGTCCCATTTAAACTATTTTTGATCTTTTATTCAAAAATCCACCAGGTAAACAGTTCTGTCTACAGAGTGTGCTGCGCTCTAAAAGCTCCATGTGAAACACTGCAGCGCATTAGTTCCCTTCTCCGAGGCAGCGCGGGGAAACAAACTCAGATCTCTTCAGCACAGGGGCCAGGGCCGGTTCTATAGGGGCCCAGGCCCCTGTGGGCCCCTGTTTAAAACCGCCAATGATGCAGACCCAAAAATTACACTTTTAATTTATTCGTTAAAAGTGCTTATTAAGTTTGTTTTACCCACACTAATAACTTTGAAAAAACTTCAAAATTAAAGGATTTAAACACCTTCATTAGAATCCTGTAAACACAAGCTGTTCTATGAACTTACATCACGTTTTATGTTTTTTTTAGCTAAATGTGAAAGTTTCTATGTATAAGTGCCACAGCAGCTAGTTCCACTTTTCCATTTCTGCTAATAATTCTTTATAATTAGTGAAAACACTTGTATTTCTTTAATAGTTAATAAAGATTTAAATGAACAGGTATGAAATCTCTCAGACGAGTGTTGCTGAACAATAGCAGAAGCGCTTAACTGGCTTCGCTCAGACTTGCCGTTAGCTCATCTGTTTGATCAGAACTCTTCTCCGTCTCTCCAAATTGAGGCTGTTCAACAGCTGTCTATAACAGGTAAGATAATAACTCACACTAGTGATGCACCAAGAATACGGCCGATGATCCGACTTGACCAAGATTCAGCAGAACGGGCCAATCTGGAACTCTAACAACCAACCGTGGGAACTCAACACTACGCATATATTCACATCTTCTTCCAGGCAGAAGTTTTTACTTCCTGAACCATTATTTTCATGTTAAAAGCTACTTTTTCTTCACCGTTATTCTTTGAGATAAATCGTCGCCCACAAAGCCAGAATCTGTGCATCTCTAACTCAAAACTTTTACACTCAAATATCTGAACTAAGGTTTCGGCGCCGCCCGCTGCTCAGAACACTTTTCACACTCACGAAGTCGGCCGAGACGTTCAAGTGTGTGTCAGTATCAGAAGGCAACGTGGCTTTAGGTCCCATGCTCCTTTGCTTTATTTTTCTTCTTCTGGAAAGTAACTAAATATAAATTGGCTCATGACTTAATTTAAGCCTGAAACTGGAATAAACCGTAGAAGCAACACAATCGGTTCAGTCAAACAATAAATAAGCAGTTTTCTATCTCGGACCTGTAACTTTGGTACACTCACTGAAGGATGTAGGATGCTGATTTTTTTTCTCTCCACAAAGTTCTGGAAAAAGCAAAATGGCTCTAAGTTGATGTCGCTGTGACACTTGTAACGCTCAGCTGGCTCTGAGGGGCTTTTTTCCCATAATTCCCTTGTGAAATGAACTTTATTCATGCCCTTTAGCTGACTCAGACCACAGCAGTGAGTTAGATTTCCCTCTCTTGTTTTGAAGCTCATTTCTCAATCAGGCCACCATCTTTTAGTTTGAAGTAGAAGAACTTCTCCAGAGTGTTGGCACACTTGCAGTACTCGCTGTCTGGAGGGTTGTACTCGCGGCAGTTGCTGATGATTCGCTGCAGGTCAGCGATAAAAAGCTTCTTGGTGACGTAGTATCGGTTCTTGAGTCGTTCTGTCATGGTCTTCAGGTCTGCAAGAACACAATTTAAATGTTAACAGAAAGCTGGACTTACAGGAGAGCAGAAACAGTGAAAAGGAGTTCTTCACCGATAGGAAAGCGGATGATCTCGTAGTAATCAGGAGCTTCAGATTTCTTCACAGGCTCCATGAAAGGCCAGGCATCAGGATGAGTCTGTGAAGGAGTCAGAATTAGGTCTTCAGCAGTGTTGCCAACTGTTTTTGACTGAAAGTAGCTGAAGTTTCCCCCAGAAGTCGCTAGAGTGCTAATTTGCAGATGACACAATGACGTCACCTGGTTTGCGTCATGACGTCACCGGTCTTGTAGAGTAAATCAAATAAAACCCACGTGATTTTATTAAAGAAATTATTTAATTTATTTTTTAATATTTTATTAAAATAAAAACCCCATAGAATACAGAACAGCAGCCTTTAAAACATCAAGGAAAGATGGCACAAAACAATGGAAGGAATATTTCTATTTTGTCTGAAGAGAATGGAACTCGTAAACACAAAAATATTAAATTGATAGGAATGCATGTATGACTGAATTAAAATGAATTTTCTCTTTTAAGTGCCTTGAGATGTATTCTTCTGTTGTGATTCAGTGCTATATATTGACCTAACAGACAATATATTTTTTATTTTTGTTTGGTTTTGTTGTTTTTAGTACTTTTGTGTAAAAAGAAGCAGGCCGTATTTAGTATTCAGTAACGTTACATGCAAACTGCCAATGACCTGAGGTGTATGGCTTTCAGTATTATTGTGATTTTATAAAAGTTTTAAATGTGCTACGTTATTGAACTCATCATAGAGTTCCAATGTTCCTTGAATGCACCACAAGTGGTGCGAGAAGCCATGTGTGAGTGCGACGCTGCCTGCCAGTGCCAGCCGAGCTCAGCTGCTGAAATGCGGCAGGATGGCGGAAGGAGCAGTCGCCTTTTATGTAGCTCCGGTGGCTATCTCAAATAATGGACTTGTGAAAACCCACAAAAGGTTTGATTGGTCAGTGGGGGTAGCATGATCATGCTGCACGCACATGCACAGATCATTTTCTTTCTGATCCTCTGGAAGGAAGGATGGTCCTGTCGCTTCAGATGCATCTCTAATCGGCGGGTAAAGTCGGCTACAAAGTTGTAGTCAAAGTAGCTGAGGGGGGTCAGAAATGCCGCCAGATTTGTCGCTAGGCGCTTTTTTGAAAAAAAGTTGTTAAGGGGGTCTGAAAAGTCGTTAGAAATGGCGACAAAGTTGCTAAGTTGGCAACACTGGTCTTCAGCAGTCTCAGAGCTCGTTATTCATGTGGTCTAGATATGGCCAGCTCTGCAGGTGAGGCTTACCTTTATCTGGGCCAGAAGGTTTTTCAGCATGTTGTAAAGCACATCTGGGTCTTTCACCTCCTTCCTACAAAACACACCCATGTTTTAACAGAAACTCAATTCAGTCAATCAGCCAATATTGACATTCATTAAAATTTCAACCTTAATGTTCTAAATGGTGGAAACAGATTTAAAATCTGACACTAATTATAAAGAGTGACTAGAAAACATTTACTTCTGGTTACTCAGTCTCCTTGTGTGCATCAGATTTATCCCGTCCTTCCATTATAATGCATTCATTACGTACATTAGGGATGTTAATTGGTGAATTATGGCGATACGATACGTACCACCATACAGGAGAGATACAATATATCACAATATTTGCGATACATTCATACGCCATATACATATTTTCTTACATTCCTAATAAACATTCTTATATTATTTAAACAAAAGTTACAAAAGGTGTACCCTCACTGTGCCCCGGGTAATAAACCCAATCCTGGACAAGCGTCACAGGAAATGAGGGAGTCAAACGGCAAGAAGGCCAAAACACATGAAGCCAATGTGATGCACGTTACTACAGTCAATCAATAACGGTGCTTCTGTTGCACTAACATTTTGAACTGAGATGCTAAAAATAGCATCACCAATAAATCTGTGGTAACACCATAGTGGTAAACAGCCGTGTTATTGTATAACTAAAGCCACGCTGCATTTTTCACCTGTCACACTGCTTCACGTTGCACTGTGAGGACTCTAGAGGTGGTACACTGTACGGTCCAAGATTTCAGTGAGCACAACATCTCGCTCTGGCAGCATGCTAACATCACAACCACACTCACCAAAAAGCGTACATCACTAAATGCCGAAAGATGCCCATGACAACAACAATTAAATGAGAAAAAAAGCATGAGCGTTAACACTTCTTTGTTAAACTCTAACAAACTCCAAAGGAGTGGTCCGCATGCTCCTGAGGGTAGCCTCCACTGTCGCTAATGTTGCTAATGCGACTCTGGCACTGTACGCTCGTCACCAGCTTTTACATGTCACTCCCTGGGTGTATTTTCGTTGGTCGACTGCAGACAGAAGTCACATAGATTTTATGACACTTCTTGAAGACTGTTGGAGGCTGAATTTGGTCGTGGGGGTGCTCAATAAGCTGCGCCGGTCACACGGAATACCAAAGACCTACAGATCACACTCACCCTTTTTTTTGTCAAAACTACGTTCAGAACAACAATGGATTTGTCAACAATGGTGGAAAAACACGGTGTGGCCCAGGTGTAAGACACTGGGGCAATAAGTCAGTCTGGATCCCCAGAAACTAAAATCCAAATGTTTTAGATGCGTTTACCCCTTGTCCTTGTTGCTGGGTTTCCAGCCTGTCTCTCCTAGAAGAAACATAAACATTGTTAGTAATGAGAAGATTTTTATTTAAATCACACAAGTCAGAGCATGTCGTCCACTCACTTATTCCCGGGATGCTCTCCATTGGGATCTGCCGAACTCCCTCTTTGAAGCAGGTCAGACCTGGATAAACCTTCCTGATCTGACTCTGTTTTCTCTCAATCAGCTTCTTAATTATCTATAATGTCAGAAATGTTTCAATTTAAAAATACTCGTCGATAAAGCACATTGTTATCTTTTTCCGGCTCTTTGAGAGTACAGACGCTTTTTTCCTCCTCTCCTCCCTACCTTATCCCAAGGCTCTTTGTCTGTCTTTGGGTGTACGGCGCTTCTGCATTTTTACTGGAAACTATTAAAAATGGACCTGGTCAGCTGGTCTCTGAACGCGATTGACAAAATTTTTTCAACGATGACAACGGGAGAAGGGGCTCCCGGGTGCCCCTATGGGACAGATCCAGTTGTGTATATCATGGACTCCTGGAAACAGTGGAACCTGATCTGCCTCTCCCAGCTGTCTTTAGAGGATTCTGAAGATGTGTGGATATTCGTGGTGTTGGTGTCGGGTTTCCTGCTTTTTGGCCTGGGAGGTTACCTGGCTTACCGGAAAATTAACGAGCTGTCGAGGAATATTGGCTCAATCCCGGAGCTCAGAGATGGATTACACCGCTCTGTGAATGCTCAGACTCATATAATTGTCGAGATGAGTCGTAAGCTTGGGACTTTGGCTGAGATTCAGACTCTGGCACAGAAGGTGGATTCCATCAAGGAGAAAGTTGATGGGTCAGTGTGGATTGGGATAGTTTTAATTACGCCATTATTGGATTTTGAGAGGTTGAGGACCAACGAAACTTTAAGACAGAGAGGAAATTATCTGTGTCTGGCCCCAAAACAAGTCCTTATCTGAATCTGGTACCCTTGAGCCTGTGAGGCTGAAGTGATTACCCCCCTCAGAAGAAATGTGGAATGCTGCCGTCACCATGGTAACTCTGTCTCCCTATCCCAGCCTGGGTGGGACTGTGACCGGTGAAGGCCGTTGAATCGTTCCAGGAGTCACTGTGCCCTCTAAACCCAACAACCTCCCTCCCCTGTCCAGACGGAGGTGACGAGCGCTGCTCATCGCGGCTGCATGCACTGACATGTGGAGAGTCCCAACCCACCACCCCACTTAGTGGACACTTATGTTGTGTGTTGTCTGAAGTCTGTTGCATATCTGTCTGAGGTGTTTTTTTTTTGCAGAGCAAAGCTGCCCTCCCTGTGGAGGGTAACTCTGAAGTGTCTTCTTTTCCTCCACCTGACCCAATCCTCATATAAATCCTCTGATCTCTATTAAGGTAGCACAACTCGGGTTGCGATTGACCACAGTCACCAATTCTTGTCATGTGTCTTTGCCAATGTATGTCTGATCTCAGAATTGTGTGTACTGAAACTCTTAATTTCCCTCTGGGATTAATAAAGTATCTTTGAACTGAATTGAATTTGAATTAGAAGGACTCCTTACGCACCTCCTTCTGTCTCTTAATGATGTGTGAAAGTTCCGTGTAGGGAATTCTAGGATTTAGTTCACACTCCATCAAGGTGGCTCCTTCGTAGTCTTTGATGTATCCCAGGTATCGACTCTTGGCCACTTTAATGTCTTTGGAAAAGCCCTGCAACAGATAAAAGAAAACAATTATGAGATACCCACCAATGCGCATTCCGAGGAGGAACCAGAGCTGGGAGGCCTGGGGATGGACTGTCCGATCTCGGGGGCAGAAGTTGCTGAGGTAGTCAAACAACTACACAGCGGCGGAGCCCCGGGGGCGGATGAGGTTCGTCCTGGGTATCTCAAGGCTATGGATGTTGTAGGGCTGTCATGGTTGACACGTCTCTACAACATTGCGTGGTCATCGGGGGCAGTTCCTAGGGAGTGGCAGACCGGGGTGGTGGTCCCCATCTTTAAGAAGGGTGACCTGAGGGTGTGTTCCAACTATAGGGGGATCACACTCCTCAGCCTCCCTGGAAAGGTCTACTCCAAGGTACTGGAGAGGAGGGTCCGATCGATAGTTGAATCTCAGATAGAGGAGGAGCAATGTGGTTTTCGTCCTGGCCGTGGAACTGTGGACCAGCTCTATACCCTTGCAAGGGTGATGGAGGGGGCATGGGAGTTTGCCCAACCAATCCACATGTGCTTTGTGGATTTGGAGAAGGCTTATGACCGTGTCCCCAGGGGCACCCTGTGGGGGACGCTCCAGGAGTATGGGGTGGGTGGCTTTCTGTTAAGGGCCATTCAGTCCCTTTACCAGAGGAGCGTGAGTTTGGTCCGCATAGCCGGTAGTAAGTCGGACCTGTTCCCGGTGAGGGTTGGACTCCGCCAGGGCTGCCCTTTGTCACCGGTTCTGTTCATCACTTTTATGGACAGAATTTCTAGACACAGCCGTGGTGTGGAGTGTGTCGAGTTTGGTGGCAGGAGAATCTCGTCTCTGCTTTTTGCGGATGATGTGGTCCTCCTAGCTTCATCCAGCTCTGACCTTCAGCTCTTGCTGGGTAGGTTCGCGGCCGAATGTGAAGCGGCTGGGATGAGGATCAGCACCTCCAAATCTGAGACCATGGTTCTCGACCGGAAAAGGGTGGCTTGCCACCTCCGGGTCGGGGGAGAGGTCCTACCTCAAGTGGAGGAGTTTAAGTTTCTCGGGGTCTTGTTCACGAGTGAGGGTAGGAGGGATCGGGAGATCGACAGGCGGATTGGTTCGGCGTCTGCAGTGATGCGGACGCTGAGCCGATCTGTCGTGGGGAAGCGGGAGCTGAGCCAGAAAGCCAGGCTCTCGATTTACCGGTCGATCTACGTCCCAATCCTCACCTATGGTCATGAGCTTTGGGTAATGACCGAAAGAACGAGATCGCGGATACAAGCGGCCGAAATGAGTTTCCTCCGTAGGGTGGCCGGGCTCAGCCTTAGAGATAGGGTGAGGAGCTCGGACATTCGGGAGGGACTCGGAGTAGAACCGCTGCTCCTCCGGATCGAAAGGAGCCAGTTGAGGTGGTTTGGGCATCTGGTCAGGATGCCTCCTGGACGCCTCCCCGGGGAGGTGTTTCGGGCATGTCCTGCCGGCAGAAGGCCCCCGGGTCGACCCAGGACACGTTGGAGAGGTTACATCTCCAATCTGGTCCGGGAACGCCTTGGGGTCCTGCCGGAGGAGCTGGTGGACAAGGCCGGGGAGAGGACGGCCTGGAGCTCCCTAACTGGGATGCTGCCCCCGCGACCCAGACCCGGATAAGCGGAGGAAGACGAAGACGAATTATGAGATATGCACGCAAGAGTGGAGTGACACAGGTGAGGTGCGTCTGCTGTACCTGCTTCTTGAAGTATCCGATGGCGTACTCGTCAGCGTAAGTGAGGAAGTAAAGGATGTTGTGTTTAATGTGGTACTCCTTCAGGTGGTTCATCAGGTGAGTTCCATAACCCTTAGAGTCACACACACAACAGATTTGTGTCAATAAGAGATGTAAAAACAAAAGATATTAAATAAACGCACAATAACAAGTAGGGATGTGGACCTTAGAGCAACTCTTGATTTGATTCGATTCCGATTCTTGGGGTGCCGATTCGATTCAGAATCGTTTCTCGATTCTCAATTTAAATCGATTCACATTCCGTATCAACAAAGAGTGTCAGCTCCAGGATGAACTACTTTGTTGTACAAGTTAGTTAAAGCTATGGGACATTTTTATTAGACTTCAAACTGGTCGTGCTCCAAAATGCTAATTTACAATGAAAAATAAAGTGATTCTAAAACTGTAAACAGAAACAATCTTATGACAAAAAGGCAACATTTATTTTTGCTTACCTTGTAAAATATAACAAATCTGTAGTTACCTAACAGTAGCTTTAAAAGTAATACGGTCAAATACTTTTCAAGTATGTGTGGAAACAAGTTACATGAGTAATCCTGAGTACTCATTTATCAACTTAGAAAATAAATATGAGAATATCTCAAATTTCTGAGTATGGAAAAAATGACATTCAAGCACCCTCTTATCAGCAGATTCAAACAATTTATGGGAGCACAAAAGTAATCGGAGTACTGACTCTCCTAACAAAGATCAAAAAAGTGCATCTCAAACCTGTAACATGCCAAATATTTGAGTTCTTGGAATCGATACTGAATCTTTATAAATAAGAATCCCGATTCAGACTTGAATGGATTTTTTTCAGCACCTCTAATAACAATCAGCAGGGATCGGTGTGTTCTAATTAAATCCTCACTACCTTGACTTGTTCGTTGGATGTGACGGCACAGAAGACGATCTCTGTGAAGCCCTGGGTTGGAAACATCCTAAAACAGATGCCTCCAATAACACGGCCATCTTTAATGAGAGCCAAGGTTTTGTGCTTCCTGTCGGAACAAAAGTGTCAGCAAAGGCAGCTGCTTTTACACGATGACACACCTGGTGAAAGACTGTCCACTTACGGGTCAAACACCAGCCGAGTGATGTACTCTTTGGGCATACGAGGTAACTGATGGGAGAAGACGTTCTGAAGGCCGACCAGCCACATCAGGATCTTCTTGTTGGACTTCTGGGAAAGAGAGTTTCCGATGACGTGGAACTCTATGATGCCCCGCCTCTCCTCCAGCCTGGCTGTCTCGTCCCGGGCAGCGTTAGGCGTCAGCAAGTTTGTCTTCAAACATAAACAAACTGTTAGAGATACCTTATTACACCTAAGTCTTAGAAACCCATAGCAACTAGTTTTATTAAGGCTGCAAACACACCACACCGAGTCTCTTCCTCCTATGAATTTTCAACTTTTAATTGTGTAAAATGTTAAAATCTTTTAATAGAAACCGACCTTCCTCCCACAACCAATTCACCACATATGCAAATTATACATCACATTAGAGGATGACCGACACTCATTTCTCTATTGCCAAAACCGGCGCCAATATGTAGGAAACATGGTCAGCTGATGGCCGATATATATTGCAGATCCAGACATTTTCCACCTTATTTTCATGCTAAATTGTCACTTATAACATCAGTAGATGCACAAAATTCCTAGAGCTGAATCAGTGTTTAAACTCTGCACAGCTCAGTGTTAAAGTCAGACACCTAAATAGTTAATGTAGAGCGCTTATTACCCCGGGTTTCCACAGGAGCCGTCAGCAGCATGTTACTGCAGCAGCACGTCTTGCTCGCGTAAACTGCTGCTTGGCCCTTCCCACGAGACGCGAAGCAGCAGGGGAGCAGCTGTCACCGACAGAGCACGAAGTCACACGAGTGACTTCGTCAGTAAACACAACAACAAGCAGGAGAAAACTACAATATGGCTCCAAAATGTTTGTGTTTTATGTTCTGTTCGTTTTATAATCGCCAATACGGACCTGAAAAACAAAGGAGACCGCTAGCTAGGTGATAACTTCTCACGGGGCCTCACAGTTAGTAACCTTTTTTAAAGTAAAGCAACCGGAAGGCAGTACGTTCTTTATTCTGAAAATCTCTGGAGCTTCTCTCCATTTCCGCGTCCGATTTCCTGTCTTTCCTTCCCCAAAAATGTCGAACTTGACCCGTTTCAGAGGCGTCGCGCGTAGAAAATAGAACCGGCGCGTAAAGGCCGCGACATGCTGCTCCTGAGACGCGGCCGACTCACGCTGCTGACGGCTCCAGTGGAAAAGGTTCTGTTGACCACAGCGGTTCCTATCAGCAGCTATGACGTGCTGCTGCAGTAACGTGCTGCTGACGGCTCCGGTGGAAAGCCGGGGTTACGCAGATGGTAATGAACGTAAAACTACATTTAAATTAAATTCAGCACCAGGCTGCCCCAGGATGTGCCTGACTTTAAATCGGCTTCACTAACAACAAGTATCGGCCAATGCCAATGTATAAAAACTAGGGCTGTGACTCGTTTAAAAATTTTAATCTAATTAATTAGAGGCTTTGTAATTAATTAATCTAAATTAATCACATTTTTAGAGCGTTTCTGTTTTAACTTAAACTTCTGTTTTCAACTTTGACACGTTGTGATTGTTTACAGAGTAGTGAGAACACGGAGCGTTCTCCCAGCGGCAGCCAGGTGCCTCTCGTTTGTCTGACTACTTGTATAAACTACTGTTAGGGCAAAGAATTATTCTATCGATCTCTGAAAAATGTCCGCGACACGGACTCCGTTGTTGTCCGGAAGTTTTTTTTTTTTCAGTTAAGAAAAGAGGCGGACGGGTTTCCTAAATCCTGCATCAGTCCAAGCAAGGCAACTTCTTTCTGTTTTTATTCCGTTTTAGTAGCCATTAGCACTGTGCATTGTTGTGTGCATCAGTGATATTCGGTCTACGAGAAAATCGTGCAATAACAAAGGTTCCGCCTTTCTCGAAATGCAAGCTGCGATTAAAAGCGTTAATTTTTTTAATGCGTCATTTTTTTCTAATTAATTAATCATAATTAACACATTAAAGTCCCGGCCCTAATAACAACTGTAAATATATGCAAACATATCGATATAGCCGATATATCAAAATGCAGATTTTGTCCTGTCCCCCCACTGTGTCTCTCTCTGCTGCAGGACTGACGGTGTGCCATCAGACTGCAGAGAGACAACATCCGAACTTCCAGGCTTCAGTTGCAGCTCAAAACATCATTGCCCTCCTGACTGGCGGTGAAGGCTGACCTCTGGTCCGAGCATAGCAGCAGGATCTGTGATTGTCATCATGACTTCATTAACCAGCTCCATGGGAATGTCTCCCATCACACGGATCCGCTTGGCATCTTCTAGAGTCAACGCCTCTGGAAGTTTGCGCTTTTCCCCTGGAGAGAGGGAAATAATTCTCTCATCAAAATAATAGGATCAATCCAGCAGAAGTTCCATATTTACATGAAAAGAGTGACTTTATAACACTCAGTTTCACACTGCATCAGTTCTGCAGAAAGGTTTTGACCCATGGATGCAACAGGAGTTCTCCATTTTGCAGCTCCTAGTGACACTCATGATTGTAAAAAGTGTGTAATTCGAAAGTGAGGGAGGCTAATTACAGCAAGTTTAACGTTTAAGCAGAAACATTTACCAAAATGGCCAAAATGGCCCTTTGAGGTTCTCCATGTAATTAGGTCAGACTGGATGTATGTGATACACAATCCTCTGAACTGACACCTGAGTGACTGAGACACCCGAAGGTCGAGTGTGATTCAGAGTGAAGATGTTGGCGAGCTGACCTATGATGGACTCGACGCCTCCTGTGTCCACGCTGCCTAGAGACGAGCTGCTGCTCAGACATTTGGACAAAGCAGCAGACCCAGAGACCGACGCTGGACTCATCACTGCAATCACAAACATCATCAATTGCAGGCCACTTGTAACCACGACAACAGCAGTGATGGCATCTTTTGTGAGGCATTTCAAGGCCAGACAGACCTGATGCTAAAGTACCAGTTCTCAACAAACACCAAACTCCATGTCTCCACCAGCCGCTGCACACCTGCCTCACCTGTCTGAGGTCCCATCTGAGAGCCGTCCGAAGCAGGAACGGTGAAATCTGCCTCCCAAATGGGCGAATTCTCACCGTAGATTTCCTCCTCCAGCATCGACAAGAACCTGAAATCAGCAGATTCCACTGGAAGTGTGTTTCATAAAAAGAAATGCAATAGCCACCTAAATCATCCGATAGTGACTGAACGGCTACATCCTAACTGAACTGACCTGCTGCAGCATGGCGTTTGTTTATAACTGGTAAAAAGGGTTGTCACTCCTTTTTAACAAACACCCGTGATACCCCAAGCTTAATGAAACAAAACAAGGCGTTCCCGGACCAGATTGGAGATGTAACCTTTCCAACGTGTCCTGGGTCGACCCGGGGGCCTCCTGCCGGCAGGACATGCCTGAAACACCTCCCCAGGGAGGCGTCCAGGAGGCATCCTGACCAGATGCCCAAACCACCTCAACTGACTGGGGGGTGTTCAATAAAGTTAAAAAAATAAAAACTGAATCTAAGTGAAACTTCTGTGCTGCCTTGCAGAAGCTGGATAAGTCCCTCCAACAAGAGGTTGTGTCCATCTCTGATCCCTCCACGGACATGGACATCAGGAGAGGCATGAAGTAAGTTATAAAGTCCCACAGGACAGGTTTTAGTGGAGTTAGCTGGCTAGTCAGTGTTATCCATCAGCTAGGCTCTCTGGCTGTGTAAACATTTATCAGGCAGACTGGTTCTGTGTTCCTGATCCAATCTGTTGTTCTCAGTAAAAAATAATGTTCCAGATAAGTAGGAATGTCCCGTTCCAATATCGATATCGGAAGTCATTCGATATCGGCCTAAAACACTATCGGATTATATCGGACGGAATCAAAAATCTCCGATACAAGCAGTTCGTTAAGGTTCACGTTTTTGCAACGAATGGTTGTTATGGCAACCATTTGGGTTTTTCCGTGTGTGTGTGTGTGTGTGTGTGTGTGAGAGAGAGAGAGAGAGAGAGAGGAGATGCAGCACCTGTCTCCCATCTCACTAGATTGCCTCCCAGTTAGACCAGGGTATCTGCAGGTTTAAGGGAGCCAAATTTAAGACTTTTTAGGACCTTTTTTAAGGTCACTTTGACCAAATTTAAGCTATTTTTAAAATTAAATTTAAGGTATAATTTCCAGCTATTGCCTGGAACCGGTGCTAACCATGTCGTGAACGTGGGATTAACCATCCAGTTACCATTAAACTTGCACTTCCCCATGACACAAGCTCCCACTAGCTTAACCAGCTAATGTGCTCATCTAAAAATAGCCCCCTTTCACAACCAACTGAATGTGTACGGTTCCGCTTACGCCAACATCGTACACAAAAAATGCTGAACACTAACTAGAAATTCACGGAAATTTTTATAGAAATAAAATAATCTTGTTTATTGGGGCTTTGGTAATTTAAGACCTTTGGAAACTGGATTTAATGATTATTTGTCATTTTTAAGGATTTTCAAGGCCTTAAATTTGCAAAAGCAAATTTAAGACTTTTTAAGGACCCGCGGATACCCTGTAGACTCTCCCAGCTGTTCCTGATGATCAGCTCTGCCAGCAACATAAAAATCAGCCAGCCCTCAGTTCAGGGAGCAGCTGACCAGAGGTTCTCTCTGGTCTGGTGTCTCCTCAGCAGCAGTTGGTTTTGTTAAATTAAGTTTAATGTAACAACTTTGGTGGGTGCTTTGAAAAACTGATTAACTGCAACCATTTTCAGTGCAAAGGAAACTTTACACTTTGCTTTAAATAAGACATCCCTCGGTTAAGGAAATTACGTGATGGTCTTTCGAAGTTTTGGCATCGATTTGGTTAATGAGAGAGTTTAGTTGTTACTAGTTTTGAGTTGCTGCTGATGTGTCTTTGTTTTGATAATCTGTGTTTTGTGTTATATTTATGTAAATAAATGTTGTTTTGTTAATTTTAACACGAGAACAATGGTTACATCAATGGTTACCCCATGCCCCTAGACAGCCTGAATCGTAACAATGGTTAACAAAAAAGTTTCATTTTTCATCATACTTACTGTTGGCTCTTGTTCTCCGATTGAGTTACAGTAAATCATCTAATACAGGCCCGGGCCTGTATTTGACTCAAGCTCATCAAGCTCCAGGCTTTTATTGGAAGGAGGACCAGAATTAGAGGCAGGCCTCAATTTCTATTTGAGCAGAATGAACTAATGGTTCGTTGGAGTTTTTGACAATTAAAATTGCGCCCACATTTTAAAAGTTAAACACATTTCTTTTAACAACGGTAGTTTCTGCTTCAGCCCTCTCCTCCCTCCCCCTGCGCAGCGGCCGCAAACTCACTGATGCACCTGCAGCCTCTCGGAGTTCCTGCTGCTCTAAACATTAAAATAATTATTTCATTTTCTGTTCCTCACTTCTTATTACCTTCAGTGGTGTCTGTTTGTTGCAACCACCAGGTACAAAAACTAACTTGTTTTTATTTGACATTTTCTGTCCGGTCTGTTTATTATCTTCCTGCATCTCCTCTCAACCCTAAAGAGAAACTGCTACCTGGGTTCATATATATTCACCTTATGAGTTACCTTTGAACTGCAGTTCTAAAAGATCTACCGACCACAAAAACAGCAGGGTGAGCGCCGGCCACATCAGTTAGGTGCGTCACCGAGGACAAAACAGGTGATGCGCCCCGCTCCACAGCAGCGAAAGGCATCAGGCACAAATAAATGAATAAAAGACAGAAAACATAAAAGGAAATGAGCCGACATGAACGATCGCGTGTTAAATTAGTTTTTGAGGTGACGACACCCGATTTGATAATGTTACTGTGGCCGTGCTCAGGACGCAGATGTCTGGAGCGCGTCAAAAATCAGAGCTTTGCATGTGCAAGCTGGTTAAGGTTAGAATGGGGGTGAGGGGAATGTTAAATTGCAAGAGGTTAAAGGTCACAATTTGGTTAAATGTCCGTTTTACGGCGGGTGTCGGTACCGACGCTCTGGCACAGCGCGTTGCCTCCCGACGCGCAGGAGCTTGTCACCTGCTGACAGCAGGCTGCTTTCTTTTCCGTGGACTGCATCTTGCCGGTCATTATCACGTGACAGCGACTAGTCAATGACAGGCATAAAAGTCACTATAGAGCGGTGAAGTCGACTAGTGACTAGTTCATACAACCCCTACTGCTCCCCAGAGTGTTCTGCAGCATAATCAGCACGTTCTCTTTGAACTTGATATCAAATTTTCGCCTCCTCTTCGTCTCCGCACGGTTAAAGTTACCCTCGCGGTCTATCACTGGCAAATCAAAAGTGAGACGGATGACACAACCCCCCCCCCACCCCCCCCACCCCCGTGGTACTTGCTTGTTACCACATTCCACCCGGCCACAATAAAAAACCAGCCATTATTCACCTCCGCCGACTCCGGCCAAAATATGATACCCGGCCGTTAATTAAATACAGGCTAATATTAGAGGATTTACGGTATATCACTTGATCAAGCCTTTCATACATATCACACTACAAAACAGGTGAAAGTAAGTTTGATTTGTTCTGATATCGTATCAGATTGATATCGGTATCGGTCGATACTGAAGGCTACAATATCGGTATCATATCGGAAGTGAAAAAAGTTGTATTGGGACATCCCTACAGCTAAACACAATAGCTAAAGTGAATTCTGACTAGGAGAAACTCTCACGTAAAATGCCTAGAATTCAACTATTACTAGTAAAATGTCTTATTTTAAATAGATACAATGAAAAAAAAACATCCAGCTATCAGTAACTTTATTTTAATATCTGAAATGAAAATAGTTCTACTTTAAATGTAAGTTCAGATAGGAAGAACTTCAGCCTTGCGCTGCAAAACCAACACACATGAATGGGAAAGGTGACATCATTTGTCGTATATCTGAAGTGTTCGGTGTAGATAGTAAGAATTAGAGGTGCTGAAAAAAATCCATTCAAGTCTGAATCGGAATTCTTATTTATAAAGGTTCAGAATCGATTCCAAGAACTCAAATATTTGGCATGTTACAGGTTTGAGATGCACTTTTGTGATCTTTGTTAGGAGAGTCAGTACTCCGATTACTTTTGTGCTCCCATAAATTGAGATGATTTATGTTTGAATCTGCTGATAAGAGGGCACTTGGATGTAATTTTTTCCATACTCAGAAATTTGAGATATTCTCATATTTATTTTCTAAGTTGATAAATGAGTACTCAGGATTACTCATGTAACTTGTTTCTACACATACTTGAAAAGTATTTGACCGTATTACTTTCAAAGCTACTGTTAGGTAACTACAGAGGTGTTATATTTTACAAGGTAAGAAAAATAAATGTTGCCTTTTGGTCAAAAGATTGTTTCTGTTTACAGTTTTAGAATCACTTTATTTTACATTGTAAATTAGCATTTTGGAGCACGACCAGTTTAAAGTCTAATAAAAATGTCCCATAGCTTTAACTAACTTGTACAACAACGAAGTTCATCCTGGAGCTGACACTCTTTGTTAATACTGATTGTGAATCGATTTTAATTGAGAATCGATTCTGAATCGAATCGGCACCCCAAGAATCGGAATCAAATCGTGAGTTGCTCTGAGATTCACATCCCTAGTAAGAATGTTATTACGGATATCTGGAATTTAATAATTTACTTGGAACAACAGATTCATAGATATCTGGAATACATATCCAATTAATGTTGCTTTTTTCAAGGATTTGGGTTTGTCTCAAACCAGTGCAGTTGTTGGATATCCTTACATAAAATATCTACTACTAACCTACTAACAAAATACCTGTTGATGTCTGTATTTTCAGTTTGACTAGAAATAATACCATTTGTACTGGGATAAATTGTTGCTTTGGATAATAGGGATATAACTAAGAGTTAAATGTTAAAATGGTTCATTAAATTCAAATTCTGTCCGTCGCCACCTGCTGCTTCTTATTATAAACAAAAATGAAATAAACAAGCAATCAACATTTTATTGGAAGTTTCTTTTTTTGTGTGTTTTCTACATTACTCAGCTGGAGGTTCGTGGTGAATAGTTACCGAGTTAAGGTTTTACCTCCGTAGGTATAATAGGTGTTTAACAACCTGTGTAACTGCACCAGAGTGAAGGAAATGTCATTACACCATATTTATTTTTCTGTCTAATGGAGGGACAACCCCAGCTCGCCCCTCCACCACCCTGCACCTTCACACGCAGTCGTCAGGTTGTCCACATTAGCTTTCCCTACAGAGACCCTGTGCTTACTTGGGAAAGTGTGTGAGGATGAGTGTGCGTTTCTCTGGCAGCAGTTTGTCTTTCTCCACCCGGAACTTCTCCAGGAGCTGGCGCCGAGTAACCGTGAAAATGGATTTGAGTAAGTTTCGACCAAACACCTGAGTGGTTTCATTGCGTGGCAGGCTGTCGTTACTCTGTGGGACGTGGCAGTAGCACAACCACCTGATGGTCACACACACACACACACACACAATAGATCCACACTGCTGTTACGTCAGACCAATAAACACAAACACTACATGTGCGCTCTCCGTTAACACACACCTGGTATAGTCCACTTTGTAAGCGGTTGCCTCATCTTTCTGGGTACGCTGACGATACTGCGTCGGCGTCTCTAACTTCCAGTAATTCAGGCATAACAGAAACATCTTCGACAGCTCGAACATGGTCTGCCTCTCCTTTGGTGCCAGGTGGCTGAACTTGTACTGGACAAAATTCAAAACGCCCTGCAGAAGAGGAACACGAGGTGGATGTTGAATAAAACTCTCAGGTCATCTTTATCAAATGTAAAATCTGCAGCTGATTAACACTCTTTGGGGAACCAATGACACCAATTTAAAATCTATAACTGGTGAAAGCCAGTGGTCAGTGTGCATTCTTTATAGGATTGCTCAGGCCTGGGGCGTTTTCTAAAGAGTTCACCTGCTCAATGTTGGGCTTTTCAAAGGGCGGGCTTCCGAGGGACCCCTCTACAACCGGCTGGCTCATCTGTAGGATGCATTTCCTCAGGAGCTTAAAAAGGAGGAAAGAAGTAAAAGACCGAACTACACCAACATCCCGAGGGTCGCCTTCTCCCTGGTTGGTCCATTAGGACCTTTCATTGGGGTGAGGCACCCACCTTGAAGAGGTAGAAGTACACTTGTTTGGTATCGGTGTCCTCCTCCTTGTGCACGGACATGAAAAGGTTCTCCACATCCACGACCATTCCCAACAGCCGGTTGATCTCATCTTCAGACACGTTCTCCAGATGGGACACGTGATCAGCTGGAAAGTTCGCATCAAAGAATAAAAACAGAGATGAGAACACTATCAGTTTCATTTTTAATCAGATAACTTCGTCCACAATTTTTATAAAGTGTTTTTTCTTAATCAGCGTAGATATTCTCTAAACATCATGACTCATTTGAACATATGAAATTAAAAAATCATTTTGAGTTAATTGGGGGTGAAAGTTATTGTTGCAAAAAGCAAACCGCATCCATGTCTTCAAACGTATGCAAAGGTTTTTTAATCTGTTTGAGAATTACTGGGTCTTAAAGACCAATATTCTTTAAGAAGTCGAGGTAATGTTCACATAAACCATAAATGTATTTTTTTTTCATGAACAAATGAGCATTTATTACAATGCAAGCAAAACATTCTCAGAGTTACCATGAGGATCAATTTGGTGTGCCACCCCAAAATGTTCTCTGTCCCCATGGCCACCCCATGACAATTTCTGAAGGTGCCACTGATCATTAGTACAATAGACTGAGACAGCTTTGTGAGGGGCTGGTGACCAAACTGAAGACATGTTAACACTCTCCTCAGATGCTGGTTAGTTTAAGAGTGGATGATAATCAGTTTAGATGTGGATGCTGGTTAATTTATATGTAGAAACTGGTTAGTTTAGGTTTGGATGCTAGTTAGTTTGTATGTAGAAACTGGTTAGTTTAGGTGTGGATGCTGGTTAGTTTAGGTTTGGCCATTGGTTAGTTTGCATGTAGAAACGGGTTAGTTTATGTGCGGAGGGTTAGTTAGTACCCAAAGCATGTCCACAGCTGCGGCAAGACTCGCTCAGACTGGCTGTTTGCTGCTGCAGATCCATACGAGGAGCTGAGGGTGGATTTGGGTTTTTCCATCCATTACACTTGCATGTGTCACTAGCCTGAGAACAGGACAAACAAACCATACAGGCGCGTTAATAACTGAAAATATTTCCCGCAAAGTAATTATGTATTATGCAGAACTGGACATTAACAGATACGTTGTCTGCAAAGAGTAAACCCCACGTTTATTTATTGTGCTGTTGATGAAGTTTTAAATAACGTAAAGGTAATCAAACCAGAAGCGTGCTTTGTTGTTGTGAACTTCGGCTAGCTGAGTTAGCTACCTTGCATGCGGAGAATACGCCAAGTTTCTCGAGCTTTTTCGCCCGTGGGAAAGCTCGGACCTGGGCTTTCTTCTGGCTGGCGCGCTGTTGCTGGCTCAGTCCTGGTCTGGCCGGGTCGCTGTTCCCCGGTCCGGAACCCGTCGCAGCAGCACCAGACCCCGCAGTCCCGGTAGACTGGGTTTGGAGAAGCCGGGGTTGTAAGGCCTGCGCCGCCGGGTCCGACATATCCACGCTGCTGCAACAAACACTTCCTTCCTCTCCGTTCCCGTTTACCTCATATGCTGCGTTCAAGTGCCGTCTGAAAAAGTGGATTTAGGTCCACTAGCTTCACAGTAACGTTAGCACCGGATGTGATATTTCCAGAAGTATTATGTAAAATATTTGTCACACACACACACACACACACATATATATATATATATATATATATATATATATATATATATATATATATATATATATGTGTGTGTGTGTGTGTGTATATTTATATACACACACACACACACATATATATATATATATATATATATAAATATGTGTATATATATAATTATATATATATGTATATATACATATATGTATACATATACTTATGTATATATATATATATATATATATATATATATATATATATATATATAATGTATGAATGTATATATAATATCTATGCCGACTCAGAGTGCTGCGCGATTACGTCATAAACAAAGTTCTATTGTCAGGGTCTGGCACGTTCGAAGTCATTCACTTTGGGATTTCCAAGAGACAGCCCATTTTTCTGACCGTCCACAGTGTTGTTATATTGTTTTATTGAATTATTTCAATAACCATCTGTTGAAAATGAGCAGTGAGGAATACAAACAGCACTCCAAACGATTCCTGTTTAGGGAGGTAATCCTCCCCAGAGTTGTAACAAGGGTGAAACTAACCCACCCAAATACACCAAGTTACGGCTCAAAAATAAGCAGAATTTCGAAACTCAGTTGCTTGAGGGCAAAGTTTCTGACTATTTGAACAGCGCCTTTCAACATCAAAACTAGCCAACTGAAAAAGGAGCTGCAGGAGTTAAAAGATAAGGAGAAAACCCTTCAATCTCAGTTCCGTGAGTCAAATAAGAAACTCAGCGAAATGGTGGAGAAACTATTTTTGTATTTAGTAATCAGTTTGAAACTCCAAATGATTCATGCACCAAAAGACTAATTGGGAATCGTGCCTATTATAGGATATATATTACTAGAATGTATCAAACATAATTTTGAGCATGAAAAAAAAGCTTTAAAATTGGTGTTACATTTGTAATTACTTTTCCAAACATTTGCAAACAACTTCCCAGATAGCAAACATTTTGGTTTTATTTTGGTTTTATTTTGGCATTAATTGGGCATTTTGGCATCCTTCTGGCACAAAAATGTTCGAAAAAGTATTTTGGCTTAAATGTGGCATAATTTTGGGTTCCCATTATAGACAATTACATCAGCAAGTGTTTCTGTTTTAACCGTGGCATAAATATGGTTTGCCATAATAGAAAATTAGGCGGCTGGCGATTATGGCATATTCTGGGTAGCCAGAAGAGAGCGGGACAGCGTCTGTGACTTCTGCAGGTGTGCTATGGGGTTATTTTGGCAAGCCATAAAACTCATCAAATGGCGGGAAAAATAGTGATCGAAGACTGGGAATCAGGACTAATTTGTTCATTTCTCCAGCATCACGACAGAGGTGAGTACTATTTCTTCTTGAATCCTACCTTTTTGTTTGCTATAGTTTTGTTTTAGGTCTGTATTGTTTGTTTTAGCAAAATGTAATATTCGGCCACGTTCCGGGTTCCAGAACTAATGGCTTGGTTTCTGCTAGTAGATAGTGGCTGTGCCGCTGTTTAGATGAGGTACAGATGCTAACTGTGGCTAACCTACAGCTAACGAGCGTCTATATACGACCGAGTGGCTTTGCCAAAGGGTCACGCGGTTTGCTGCGGCTGCAGCAGACTGTAACGGTACCGGGTGGTAGAGGGCTGCATCGGGATTGGGTCCCGCGGGACCCAACACAAGTCTTGCGGGGGAGGGCGGTGTGAATTTTGCTGCGGGCGGGAAGGGTCGGCTGGATCGGGATGAGTACGATGGAGTCGGCAACTGATGTTGAAAAGAAGCTGAAACAAGGTCTTTATGACACAAAAACCAAAGCAAGGCAAGTCAGACATTTGGAGCAGTTTCTCCGATTGTGTTAATATTTCTCATTCAGGTCTCAGAAAAGTGACCTCGATCACTGCCTGATTACAGAGGAGAATAGAATATGAAACGGCCTTGATTTCATTATCCCTTTAAGCACCACACAGTAGCTCCTTTATGTTTATTTTTAAGAATTTTATAGGTTAAGTAGCGAGTTGTTTGAAATAACATGCGCCGATGCGTCACCGGTGATCCTGGTGACGCATCGGCGTTAAAGGGTTAAAAACTAAATGAAAACAAAGTGCGTCAATCCTGACCAATGTGTTAAAAGATATGCAGGATCCGATCAATTTGTTTTTCCCTCATTTACAGTCACGGAGATAACGGCACACTGGCTCTGGTGTTAATCAAGTTAAATTTAATCTCTTTCCAACAATTTTCACAAGAAAACAGAACAGTTAAAAGCAGGGCTTGTGTTGTGTTGACCGGATATTTCCCGTATTTGACCGTTTATTTTGACGGAGAAAGAATAGAAAGAATACGCATGCAGACGAACTGACATTTTATTGCAGATGTAGCTAAATCACCTGAGAAAAGATTCCCATCTGAACATCTGAGCTGGACACTGCTCAGCGCAGCTCACTGTCAGCGCATACATAAGGTGCACAGCGAGCTGAAGATGTGGAGAGGAGCTTGGAGCGCATCGCAGAACCAGGGCGCATGCGGGAAGGTTCCTCCCACTGAAGCAAGTGTTTTCCTAACCCTGTCTCTCAGAGAGACTGTCAGAAAATGTTCCCTGATTATGAAACTTTGGCTGAATAGTGCTTGTTCCTGTCTCCAATGTGGCAACGCATCCCTGAGCCTGTCTGAGGAGAAGCCCAGAATCTCACATCCTCTTCAGCTCAGAAAATGCCAATTATGAAAAAGCGTGACCTGTCAACCCAGTCTCACAGTAAGACCGGGTTGGAACTGTTCAGGTTTACGCAGACAATCTTTACATTTAGAATTGACTTACAGATATAAAATTAATTCAGTAAAATATAAAGCATTTTATTTAAATATCCATTCATTATTTTACAAGCACAGAGAGCCGCATCAGATGGATGGAAGTTGCCGACCCCTGGTATAGCCTATAAAATGACATGTTTTCTCCAGGACCATAGAGGACACAAACTCAATACATGTCTTTTATTGTGAGGTAATAATTTCTCAGAGTTTTGCGGTTGCGGGCGGGAGTAGACATGCACACAGCGGGTGCGGGCGGGAGTATAACACACGTTGCGGTTGCAGGCGGTAATGGTCAGAAATTCAGCGGGAGTGGGCAGGAGCAGGATATTTAATAAAGATAATTAAGAAAGTGACACAACATGAAAATGTACTCTGTTGTGAACACAGATGACTTAATGAGGCGAGGAGGAAGCTCCCTCTTGCTGAGGAGCAGACAGACCTCCAGTCTGAGGCGGAAGCCATTGAAAGGCCTCAAAGAAGAATTAAGTAAGAATTTTGTGAACTTTCCATTCCTCCACCTCTTGGGCCTGTGTTGAATTTGCACTCATTAACTTAAAATAAATGTTTAATTCAGAATAAATGTTGTCTTGTGTGTTCATTTCCAAAGGCCAAGCATATGTCCAGGATCGGGCCTCATCAGAGGATGAAGCCCAGACCCCTGGAAGAGGGCTTCCCCCACCCCCAGCCATCCCCCCAGTGAGGAGAAGGTTCATCCTCCCCAATAACCTGTACCTCTGCCTGACCTGACCAATTACCAGGTAATGGAAATCTCAACAAATACCACAGTAAAGTATGTATAGCAAATGGGTTTGAGTGTAGCTGATCATGTAAGTGTGGTGTTTCAAATGTGATACATTAGGAAATTTACAAAGGTTAATGAGGCAGTTACATGGAGAAAAACAATTCTGGAGCCATTACGTCACTGTTGAGGTCAATAATTGCATTTTGTAAACTGTTGTTCTTCTTCCTCTCCCTCTTCTACACACTCTTCCAGCATGTCATGACCCTGGGGACATCATTGCGGCAGGCCATTGACCTGCAGGGTCACCAGGGAACCCAGGGGGTTCCAGTTCCAACTCCCTCTTCATCTGGTGGGATGATGAGGGAGGAACCGGCTCTCCAGGTGCCTACAGTTTGCCCCAACTCCTCTCCAGAGCAGTGGCAGCAGAGGGACGACATGACATGTAAGGTTATTATGGTTTACACTCACCCAGTCCTCACATGCCAGTTACAATATACAAACACATGATCCACACATACATACTAATATAAGATGGTTTATAAAGCTAAACACACACACACACACACACACACACACACACACACACACACAGAGAGAGAGAGAGAGAGAGTCTGAATGGAAAAGAATTATGTTTATGTATTTAGCAGATGCTTTTGTCCTAAGCGACTTACAAGTGATAATCGGCATGTTGCCCTTGAGGCTAACAACAACAACAACAACTTGACATCAATCATGGAGAGGAGGGAACAAGGAGTGGACAGTAGAGAGGGGGGACGGGTGCAGGGAGGGTGCTAGTTAAGAAGATGCTCTCTGAAGAGCAGGGTCTTTAGGAGTTTCTTGAAAATTGAAAACGAAGCTCCTGTTCTGGTAGTGCTTGGAAGGTCATTCCACATTTGTGGAACGATGCATGAGAAGAGTCTGGATTGTCCTGAGCGTGGTGTAGGCACTGCTAGCCAACGATCCTGTGATGACCGGAGCGGCCAGGCCGAGACGTAAGCCTTTGCAAGAGGATTCAGGTAGATGGGAGCCGTACCATCTCGGACTTTGTATGCTAGTGTTAGCAATTTGAATTTGATGCGTGTTGTTAGCGGTAGCCAGTGGAGCTCAATGAACAGAGGGGTGACGTGTGCTCTTTTTGGTTAATTAAAATGCCACACACACACACACACACACACACACACACACACACACACACACACACACACACACACAACATGTAAATGCAAAAAATGCTTAAACTATGTTGTTTCTTTGTGTCTGAAATGCTTTTCAGCTCTCCTGCATGAAGTCCTGGTGAAACAGGAAATAATCCTTCAGCAGCAGCACGGCCTCACCAAAATGGTGCAGGACCTTTTGTTGCTGTTGCTGCTCGTCAGGGCCTGACCACAGGGGGAAGTGTGGAGACGAGGCACCACGGCATCTTCCCCTTGGCAGATGTTCAGGCCCTGATGGCCCTGGAGAGGGAGCTTGGAATCAGTCCAACATTGGCCCATGAATTGGTGAGCTTTTTTCTGTTCTTTACAGCAAAGTTTTGGACAATGCATTTTGGCATGCACATCCAATTTATGTGTTGTTCAATATCTTAAAGTGGTAGATATGCCAAAGGAGTTAAAGGACTGCTTGTGCAGTCAACGAGCTGCACCCAATTATCCCCCCCCCCCCCCCCCACACACACACACACACGTTTCAGGTCTCTGCCCTTCATCAGGCAACCATGTAATGCCAAATAAATAAATAGTGGCGCACAATGGCTATCCAGGCTTTTCTTTAAGTTTGTATAATATTTGTTTGAAAATTCAATGAAAATCAATCGTTGTTTAAAAAATTAATGAAGATCAATTTTTCTAATTTTAGGGTTCAACACTCGGCCTTGCGGGGGGGTCCACAGTTAAGGACATGGTGTGGCGGGTCCTCAAAGGAGCCATGACTAATGCCCTCGCCGAGGGCAAAATGGGAAGGTGGCCTTTGAGAGGCTCCATCTAAAAGGCATTGTAATTGGTAAGTTTAATCACAACAGTAACACGACTGTTCTATCACACAGCTGATAAAATCATAGTTTAGGATAAAATTATTAGCCACCCATGACAATCACATTTCTTTTCAAAGTCAAAATACTTATAGTCTTAACAACTAATTTGCGAAATGGCACGCAGTGCGCCTGTGAATATCTCGTAATTATAACACCACGCTATCGCTGGCTTCAAGACAGCTATTGCCACTTTGCCCACAATGTGACGCGTTCTTCAGGGTCAACTCTCGCTCGTGAAATTCTTGTTTGGTTTTAGTGTCAGGAAAGAACAGCTGGTTTGTGTTTGGTAAACTGTGTTTGGTAAAGTAAACTGTGGCAGTGTAAGTACTAAGTGACTATGATGATTTAATGTTGTAACTTTGGCTGTCACTTTCAACCCCATATGACGAGATGCATCCATTAACTAATGCAAAACTGACTTTTTAACTAGCCAGTTACTTAGCCCACCACAGGTCTCTTTTGCATGGACTGTTGCGTCGTCCTTTTTTAAGTCTTTCTCCATGTGTATGCCTTTATTTTCAGCTGCAGTGAGAAGGAATCCAGTCTGTGTGGCATCTACAGAGGCAGAAATTGTAAATACAATTAAAAAATGGTTCTACTGGGCTGGGGATGGGGACGGAGGGCGCAAAAGGAGAATGCCCGCCCAACCAACCCCTCAACCAGCCCAGGACTCAGTCCAGGACTGACCTTTACAAAAATAAATAAATAAAATATTCAAATTTTACTCTTGTTTGGTTTTATGTTTATGCACCTCGTACACACAGTAACCTAGGCTATTTCACAAGGCTATTTAACTGAGGCACAACATCTGAATCTTCTGTACAAGGACATTTTATGGTCTATTAAAATGTTAAATTAAATTTAGCATAAGGTTCAGAATAAAATATAATCTTTTGGTAAATGTATGGCTAATTATGGATAAGTTATGGTTCATATTTGGCTTTATTATGGGGTTTTGGGATGGTTATGGCTATGCTTTGGAAAGCCACATTTTATTTTGGGTGATCTTTTGGCAAACTTATGGTTACACTTTTATATCCTTTGGCCATTTTGTGGTGTTTTGGGGTTCTTTTGGTATAGTTATGGTTGTGCTTTGGAATTCCACAATTTATTTTGGAAGAATTCTGGCAACATTTTGACAATCCATAATTCTATTTTGACGTGCCTTATTTGGGCCATGTCTGGCCCATCATTCCACCCAAAAGAGTACCAAGACTGGCTTGCCAAACTAGTGCCAAAAATGATTCTGGCAACCTTTTGACAATCCATAATTCTATTTTGGTGTGCCTAATATGGGCCATATTTGGCCCATCATTCCATCCAAAAGAGTACCAAGACTGGCTTGCCAAACTAGGGCCAAAAAGAATTTGCTATCTGGGTTTATATTAAAATACACAGCTCATTTTAAATTTAGAAAATATTTTAACAGGGTTAATGAGTTTATTCAACCATGAGTTATCCTTGATTGGATCTAATACCCCTATTTGGGTAAACCGTAATAATTATGTTGATTATAGGTTTTAACTTATTCAAAAACTGTAGTTTTCTTTTTAAAGAAATCAGACAAGACTTCTCAAATGTTGTCAAATCAAATGCAAAGGGTTAACACTTAAATGAGATGACATTATATAAACAAGCCAACAAAATTTACCTTCCTCATTTATTCATAAAAATGACTTTACCTTCTATTTTTCTACCAACGGACCTGTCCACGATTCCCACCTGACAGCAGTGTGTCCATCTGCAGATGCTAGTTATTGATGTCATAATAGGTCAAGAATTTAGAGCCCACCCCTTCCTCATATGATTATTAAAAGTGACAAAAAAAAAGAAAATCTAAAGACACCCTCTCGATTCACAAGACTGTTGAGACAGAACCAGTGCATTTAATACCATACATTTCCAGAGCAAAGAAAAATAATAATTAAGACAAAAAATTATTGACAAAAGAAAAGATTGGGAAGATTCTTTTGACAATGTCTACAGATGAATTATAAACTTGAAACTTCTGTTACAAATACAAGATGTGATTTGGTCATGAAAACAGATCTTTGCTTTATGTTTTTGCCATTTTTACACAGATCCTCTAGAAAGATTACATGAATGCTAAAATTACATTACAGGTGAAAGGGTTAGTTTAATTTACTGCATATGGTCTGATAACAGATGAATGACTAAAACCTTTGGAGTGAAGGTTTTAAAAAAATCATACTGACCAGCTTGTGTCAAAAGAAACAGTAATAATAGCAATAACAATATTAATCAATCTACAGAGCTCTATAAGGAAAGAAATCTGTCCGTCTGGTGCTCTCCCGGTGGAAACCTCTAGTCTCGTCTAGCTGATCAGGACCCAGTCAGAAAGGGACGCTGCAGAAACCTTGCTCTGACACATATGAGACATTAATAGTGCGCTGTCAAAGCGAGGACTAGCAGCGAAAAGACAAAGCCTTTTTTACTCCATCCTGTTAATTTATTTTCCTCTACACAAACACAGAAGTGAACAAGACGATCCTATTAAGTGCAGTTGGTAATGACGTGGGTTTTTTCCTCCTTCCATAAATGGGAATTATTTTTTTGTTTCCCGCCAAGGTGACGTCAAATGTTCATCAAAAAAGAAGTCATGGATCGACAAGTCCTGGGGTAAAAACATGATTCTGTAATTCGGCCTATAGGGTTGATTTCTTGGTCGATTTGGGGGGGGGGGGGTCATCAGCCAGAATCATGTGGCTCTTTACTGGCCAGTGGACTCGTTGGACAAACAGTTAACTGGTGTTGTGAGGGTAGCTGGACTGACCAGCAGGATGTTGTTTGACAGCTGGCTGATTTCTGGTCTGGTTGATCGAAGCTGTAGATTGGTTGGGTCAGCTGACTCAATGCTTTAGTTTAGTTCCCACCCCCACAGCACTGGCCGCTTCGACCCTGCGGCGCTGCCTCCTGCAGGTCCACGCCACCTCTGGCTCGTCCACCAGTGGCCGCTCCACCCTGAGGCTCGTTCTTCGGAAGCTTCTTGGCTGTTGTGGAATACAAAAATAACCACTTTATTTCACAATACACAACTTTAAATGACCACTTTTTAACCTAAAGAGTTAATCGTTTAACCGTTCCACTCAATGGAACCAAAGCACAAGTAGTCTTTGTTACTGCTTTGATCAGTTAAGCCCGATTTATATGACTCCATTAACTCAAGCATGGAGTCGTGCACATGCATCGACAGAAAGGTTTTCACTTCAGACTTCGTCAGCCGATTTCTGGTCTCCCCACCTGGAGTGTTGTAAAGTAATTCCCAACCAGGACAACAGAGGGCGCAGCGCTTTTCAAGGGTATCCTGCCACCATTACAGTCATGTAACTGGTCCACATTAGTGCACTTACTATTGTGTTTACATCGTTTATGTATTTTAGAAACTTTTTAACACGGACAAATTTGTCCCTCATTCTCCTCCGCCTCTTTGTGCAATAGACAGCTCTAAATCCATGTTTCTCATCGTTTCTGTCCACGAATAAAACACTGGCGTATTGTTGTACTCCTTCAGATATATATATATATATATAGCAGCGAGGTGTGTTGAAGCGGTCATCAGCTGATGGAGAGCTAAAGGGGCAGATGTTTAAGCGCATCGGGGCAGCGAGGAACGAGAAAGTTGTGTTCAGGCTGGAGATCACACCAGATTCGCTGCTGCAGGCGTGAATCTGCAGGTCTGCAGCATCCCCTTCTTGGTGGGACAGCGGGACTTCCCATGTAAGGAAGGTCCCATCAGATCACACCAGATTTGCTGCTGCAGGCAGGCAGATCATTAATTCCCCGTCATGATGTTTCATCTTCCCATCATCCTCCTCCATTCATCCAACTGGAACCAGTTGGTGCTCTTGATCATAGCCAGAATATGTCACGCCTGCTCTGGTGTTAAAAGTTAGTAAATTTAAATCCTAGATCATAGTTGTGCCTGTTCTGTCATTTTTCACCCATTTACTGCCGGAAAACCGGAAAAGCTTCTGCCAATCAATTCGAAAACGGATTATAAAAGAACGGATAAGGCTCGAAATGCGAAGATTCTTCCTGATGTAAGAGGTGAGTCTCTTCTTTGTTTTAGTAGTATCGGCATTAACTTCACAGAGCACAACGTTTTGTGACTCAAACAGTGAAACACTAAAAAACGCTGGCAGCGAAGAGCTTTTCTGATCAGGAAATGGCCGGCAGTGAACGAGTTAAGGACTTTTATTTATAAATGTGTTTTTACTACATTATGAGTAATAGAAATGTTAATAAAAACACCCAATTATACAAACAAGTGAAACTGGAAAAATTAGGATCTGGTGCAAAGTCCACTTATTTCAGTAATTCAACTAGACAGAGAGACAATATAAAGGCTCAGGGACCCTTTACAGGTGTTGTCTATTTGCAATTATGCATTTTAGTATATTTGGTCTTGTTTCATATCAGGGCTGGGGGTAAACGATTATTTTTAAAATGATTATTCTGATGATTATTTTATCGAATAGTTGACTATTCTAATGACTATTTAGACAATTAATCTAATGATTATTTTTCTATTGCACAGTTAATAAAAACCAAAAAATCTCAAATAAATTCCTCTAAAAAATTGATAAATTGTTACTGTAAGAGAATAAACACTACAGGCCTTCCATTTTGTAAAACACTGCTTTTATTGTGTTGGTTGGTTATGTTCTGGTGACGTGTAGAACTTGGGAGTGCAGGCTGCTGCCTGAGAGGTGGTTGGAGACGGAGTGTCTTCATGCTGCTTTGATTAGGTCACTTATGTGCGTGAGGCGAGTGGTGTTACGACTCTTCCTGGGGAGTTTGGCTCGTGTGCAAAAAGGAAGGGACAACAACGGGATTTAAAAGTTAAAATGATGATCAGGTTTATTTACAACTACAAAAAAAACATAAACCTTTCCATCCACAGGTTGGGAATAATAAAACTAATTCTGCCTGTGGGGAATTAAAACAACGGTACAAATAACTAGGGATGTCCCACTGGGCAAAGATTACTGGGTTCTGGACCAAAATAAGGATCTCCAAAGGTCCAAACTCTAAACTGGGTGGTTAAACCAAACTCAAGGTGATATTTTAACTAAACCGAAAACCCACAACACTCTAAATGTAACAAAAGGGAGATCTACGCCACAAAAAAGATGAACTCTAAACCAAAACGTAACAGCTTATCCAAACGCAAGAAGCTGTTAGCAAAAATGCTAACATTAGCTTTACCAACGTTAAGTTCAAGTTATCAAGTTTAAATGAACCAAAAACACCCAGCAGCAAACAGACCAGCACAGAGGAGAGACTGCTACCACCAAAACAGCTCTCCTAATGTCTGAAAGAAGCTCCTTAATGAAGGGAGAAACGCTCCCGGTGATTTTCTACATCTGCGGTAGAGACGGAGCAGCACATCTGACCCCGGAAGTTGTTGTGTCGGGAGACGAAGGCGGGCAAAACAGGAAAGGAATCTAGTAGCGGATGGACATTATTCCGGGTCTTCGGTATTTGGCGGAGATGTTAGTGAAGGCGGAGAAGAGGGCGAACTAGAGGAAAAACATGCAGATTCCTCCTCTATTTACAAACTCCTGGGGATGCAACAAGTGGGCGTGGTGCGTCGACTACCGGATCTGACGTGGACAAGGTTTTAGAATCGAGCCGTCGACGTCATTGACGCTTCGCTACAGCCCAACATATCACACAGTGACATCTGAATAATTAAATGCATTTTTTGGAAATTAAAAAGCTTTAGTTTAAAGTAATAATAATCATGTCTAATGTTTGATTCTCTGCCTCATTATTTTTCATTTAAAAAATTGCTCTGAGGGCACATTTACCCGAACGATTAAAATGTGATTAATTAAGATTAATTTATAACATAGCCTCTATTTAATTAAATTCATTTTTTAACTCATTCACTGCCATCGACGACTAAAGTCGTCATTTGCATTTTTTTACTGTTTGAGCATCAGAACGAGCCCCCGCGCTAAGAGAACACACATCTCAGCCCTGAAGCCGATCTTCATCCGCATACGTCACACGTCACATGATCAGGAAGCAGACCATCCATGTATTAGGAGATCGTTTAGGGCCGTTCCTGTAAAGAAAATGAGGCGCGAATCGGAAAAGCTTCTGCCGATCACAATTCAACAACGGATTATGAAAGAACGGATAACACTCGAAACACGTGGATTCTTCCTGATGTAAGAGGTGAGTCTTCGCTTTGTTTTGGTGTCGACATCATCCTAGAGCGAAACGTTCTGTGACTCTTAAAAAAACTGTAAAAACGGTGAGAAACGCTGGCAGCGAAGGCCGTTAGCGATCAGGAAATGGCTGGCAGTGAATGAGTTAATCAAGTCTCACCCTAATTAATATATACACACACACTTGAGATAAGAGGTAAAAATCCAATCAAACACAACAGAACGCTACTATAATCATTTAAAAATCTGAAGGCATCGACCTAAAGTGAGTTCTATGAAATCAAGCCAAGCATTACTCAGTTGTGTTCTGAAATGAAAATAATTAAATAACTAAAATGTTAACTATTAATCCAGATAACTGCTGATTAAATTGCAGCTTATCTAAATGATTAACAAACTATCAGTTTCTATTCTGAGGAGAACTCACCTATAGCCATAAAGATCTCATTGACATTCATGGCCGTTTTGGCTGAAGTTTCCATGAAGAGCAAACTGTTGTCGTCAGCGTACGCCTGTGCTTCCTAAGAAACAAAGTGAAGGAATGAGAACATAATGACCTGGTGGACAAACTGACAGCGTTCGTTCGTCCTTACCTGGAAGTCTACAGCCCTCTTGCTGGCCAGGTCAGCTTTGTTTCCTGCCAGAGCGATAACGATGTTGGGACTGGCTTGTCGCTGCAGCTCTTTCACCCAGTTCTTTGCACGTGTGAATGTATCCTTTAAAAGAATAAAGCTTTTTAAATCTCTGATGCAGCTTTGTATGTTGCTTTATATTACAAGGGCAAAGCTCTGTAGCTGCAGGTTAGTGTCCTTTGCCCGTGTCTGGCTAAGGTAGGGAAGGGTACCTTTGACGTCAGAAACCAGGAAGTATTAAGACTTTTATCCAAAGCAAGCGTTTAATAATTATTTAAATCACTTTTTTAATTACATATATATTATTTTTCCAATATATAACCATATTTGATAAATATGATAACATACAACTGTTTGTATTTTTTTCATCGTAGTGTTGTATAAAATTCTTTATTATGGAAACCTTTAACAACAACCGTTTCTAAATTATGCAAAAACAAACCCAGCTCATGTATTCCTAATCCTCTTCTATGCCCTCTGGAATAACTCTGATGAGGAGACCACATATTATAAACTACAAATGAAACTAAAGCAAACGTTGACACGTACAACAGTTTGTATTATAATATTGTGGTGTTCCACAAACTAAACCCAGCTCCATGTACTCCTTTTCCTCTCCTTTCTCTTCTGGACAAACTGTGATGGTGGGTCCTTGTAGTTTTATAAACTACAAATTACACTGAAGCAAACATCTTTGCTGTGAACTAAATTTACTGTGCATCATCGTTCCTTTTGCCGTTCATTTTCAAACTGTTTATTTTTCCTACTCGGAAGTTGGAATTTCTGAGGAGAAAGTGAACGCACCATTAGCTATGTAAAACAAAAACTAAACTGTCAAGCTAACGTTATCTTAAACAGTTTATTTAGCTGCTGGAGCAGATTAAGATGCCTCATCCTCAGATCTTTATTGCTGGTTACATCATCACCCAATAGCCCATCGCATTTAGTGAAGTGGGCCCAAACTTCAGAACGCTTCCTCTCTTTGTTTACAGCTCGCCCACAGTGGCTGACATTATGCTCTTGCGCGTGGCACAAGTACCGAAACAAGGCACCGTTTCATATGGCATGAATCGGTATTCAGTCTGTACTAGAATTCGGTCGGTGCCTTAAAAAGTACCGTATTGGGTACTCATCCCTAGGCTAAGGTCAACTCTACTTACTGTGTTGGTGATATCAAAGACAACAATGGCAGCCTGAGCTCCTCTGTAGTACATTGGTGCCAAGCTGTGATATCGCTCTTGTCCAGCAGTGTCCCAAATCTCAAACTTGACTGTTGTATCGTCCAAACATACCGTCTGCGTGAGGAAGGCAGCTGAGGAAAAAAAGACGTCAGAAACCAGGAAGTATTAAGACTTTTATCCAAAGCAAGACTCGAGTAGTAAAGGTTCACAAGAAAATACTGCAACAAATATAAAAACAAGCAACCATTTTAGTTTGTGCTGGTGAAACCGTTAAAACACCTGGAGTCCAGTGTCTTCATCCGCCATGACGAGGACTAATTTATTTCATCAATACCTCTTTCTCCTAATGAAAACGAGATGACGACTAGCCAAAAAAAGCTCTTAGGTGACTAAAACATGACAAGACGTGCGGGAGTTCTTGTGCAGGAGACTGGGCAAAAAATATTCTCAAAATTTTATATATTGTGTAGAATAGACTGAATGCTCCATAAGTGTCCACTCTGTTAAGAAATTCACAATGTGCTTTTGTGAAAATCTGACTGATGCACAGATCTGCAACAATAAATTCTCTATAGGGAGCTTAAGGCTATTTCCGGACCATGGGTCCCCGGAAGGAAAAAAAAGAAAAAAAAATGCAAGTCAACGGGGCTAAAAACGCCATTTTCTAATCCTGTTTTTTAAGCATTATGGATTTCACATATGATGTCCGTAAATTTTAAAGACTCATTCTGATGCTAAGAAAGCTCTGATTTATTAACAAGGCAACAGTTATTTTAGGTTTTGTGTGAAATTAAATCCAAGACTACAAATGCACATCACCAAATTGACGCCATCAAACCACAAACGGAGAAGAGAAGAGGAAAACTGGCTGTAAGTTTGGCAAACTTCAAATCCTTCCTTCAGGAGGAAAGAGCCACCATAAATGTGGCCATGTGGTAAGTAGCAGCTACGCTAGGGGAGGAGATTCTGTGGTGACGTCATATATGCGACGTACCAACGCCTGATCTGTAGTCATGCTAATTATGAACTTTTACAAGCTGATAAATCTCAATGTATGTGACTTCAGATCGTGATCAGACATCAGATAAAGGATCGAGTTGAGAAACACAGACATGAAGAACATTCCAGTTCATGAAGAGAAGCTCTAGTGAATTCCTCTGACATGATCAGCTGGTTCTCACATGATGAGGAAATTGACTCTTTCGTACTGAGCTCAGACTTTAAAGCTTTTAATCTTTAACCGGCCGTGCAGCTGACCACAGGTTCAGCACAGAAACGAAATGCTGACTATGCTCTAATTCACACCGCCAATCACTGATTTTCCATGTTTAACTTTTTACTTCTAGATGTGTTCAAGTCAATCAGGAAAAAAAATCTTCACTATAGTTGGAGATGAAGTGAAATCAGCCAATTCACAGCTGAGTTAAAGAGGTTGGTATGGATCCTTAAAAGTCAGAATCAGTGAACGACTCATCACTGCCACATCAAACTTGACCTCAGTGTAACAGTTAGTTAGCTGTAAGGGCTAGCTTGAAGTAATCAGTTGTGGATGTACCTCCACCTGAATCAGGATAAGCTGGAGGAGAAAGTGGCTTCAGGCAGCAGGATCTGGATTCCCATTTCCTGATTTTTGGACATCTTGCCTCTGACTGGATAACAGCAACACAACTCTACCACTGATTATGTTTCAAACTCTGAGGAAAAATTACAGCTTTCTCTGAAAAATCTGCTTAATGTTTGTTCAACGTTTCCCATTGTAAAAGTTACAAAAACAATAAGTTTAACATTCCTTCCCCCCCCCCCCCCCCCACACACACACACACACACACACACACACCTTTTTGTTTCCAATACCCTCACTGGACCCACAAAGAGCTTTCATTTATAAAATGTATTCCAAGAAATCATAGAAAACAAAAAGAAAATTCAATATGCCCGTTTATGGATAAGAAGTCCAGAATTCTGCCGAGTCAGCTTTTCCTCTTTAAAAACGGGTTTTACTGGTCCTCTTTCTGCTTGAACTGCGGACTGAAATGACGAAAACCTGTAAGGTATCAGTTCCAGTGTGCTGGTAGGAACATGCTGTGATCTGCTTCAGTACTTTAGTTTTTAATCGAGGGTTCGACATAGTCCAATAGATACAAACCTATCGTGGATCTGGAATAAAGGAAATACTTTACAGACTATGGAGAGAAAGTGTTGATTTGGGTTTCACAAAATTTTTTTGATCGTTACAAACTTCAAACTCTCAGACATTCTTGTAACCATCAGTTTGACTCCAAACACAATGAATGCTTTCCCACAACACGACAAACGTGTGTGTGTGTGTGTGTGCGTGTGCGTGTGTGTGTGTGTGTGTGTGTGCGTGTGTGTGTGTGTGTGTGTGTGTGTGTGTGTGTGTGTGTGTGTGGACACACACAAATGAAACTACCACCTCTCTCACCTCCAATAGTGCTCTCCTGGTACTCGTGGAACTGGCCTTTGACAAAACGCAGCACCAGGCTGGACTTCCCCACTGCCGACTCTCCCAGCAGCACCAGTTTAAACTGACAGATCTTGTTGCTCGCTGCGGTGCCGTTGGTCCGTGCTGGTCCGCCTCGACCTGCCATGTTGAAATGTCGAAAACTGAAAAATAAACTCTGCGGAGGGGAAGAGGGTGTGTGGGTGACTAAAGGGCCGTGCTTAGTGCAGGAGGATGGTGAAGCCGACCAGGTAAGTTCAGCTCATGCAGCTGGTTCTTATGGAGGAAGATGATGCCTCACTTGTTGGAACTGGAAAACAAAGAAAACAAGTTTTTGCTAAGCAAGCACAATCTAAGCAACTAGAAAGTGTACAAGAGCTTTTTTTTTGGCTCGTTATCAAAAACTTTACAACATCAAACTGTGTTGAGCCTCAGCACGGTGGTGACAAGGTGATAGTTTACTTTGTTTAGTATAAACAAGAGCTTCAATTGTGCCCCGTTTGGCTCCCACGGCTGCACATATCAAAGCCATTAACTCACTTGGCTGACTTACACCCTGTTGATTAATCAAAACTGCAAAAACATCATTGCCACAGCTTCGAAAATGTGCTCAGTGTCCTTCCTCCTTATTCTAGTTTAGTCACAAACTGTCTTCATGTTGTTCTTCCAAAGCTCTCTCACATTTCACACACTTTGGTTCACAGAAACTAAACTCAAAAGTTCCAGAAGCCGCCAACAAGTAACTCAGTTACTAAATTTGTATCGAACATGTTCAAAATTCCAGAAGCAACAGTGGGGCCCTGCGACTCGTACTACGAAAATGAAGAAAGTTTTAAGGACCAAGTTGACTTGTTTATCAGTACATTAGCACTGGTCTCTAGCATTAATAAATGTCTCATGAGTGGATCTCGGTGGGGAAAAAGCTCTGCAAGAGTTGCTAATGCTAACGGTTAGCTTCTACTTGGCTGAGACATTCTCTGCCATTTCCTAGATGATAAACCAACAACAGCCTTCCCTTTCACAAGTCAAGATGGGATGCTATTTTGACAAGGTGACAAGCATTCGAGTGGCTTTTCTAATTCCTGTTTTTTTTTGGGGGGGGGGGGGGTGCAGCTAATGCAATAAATAGTGGTGGAAAACCATTTTCACGTTCATCTGCATGTGAAACTCAGCATGATTGATCATGTATTAAGAATAATAACTAAAATGGTTTTTTCATTGAACTCGCTCTTTAACCCTCTGGAGGCAGGCGTTGCAGATTTGCAGCATTAAAACCTGCCTACCTGGTTACTACACACACGTATTTCATGAGCATTTTTTAACTCAGAAGTACCTCTGAAGGACTCAGTTGTTCGTCCTTTTATCAAAACTTATTTTGAGACCGAGAGGGTTAACATATTTTTCTTAATCTTGGTAGCCCAGCCCAGTGAAATACTGGTTTGACTTGGGTGGCAGACATGAAAACCAGTATCTCAATGAGCAGAGAATGTTGCGAGGAATTTTCAAAAAAAAAAAAAAAAAAAGTCTTAAAAAACATTTGCAAGGGTAACTGATTGCCTTACGTGAGACTCGCAGCCTCACCGTCACGCCGCAGTAAATTTTACTATCTTCAATGAAAATTTTATAACAGATTTCCTTTAAGGTGTGAATAGTTGTTCCAAGCACTTGTAACTCATCACTTATTCTCCGAGTAAGAAATTGCAAGAAATGCAAATTTGGTATGGGCTGATGACCAAATTGAGACATTTTTGAAACACTTATGCACAGAGACAACGTGCTAAACTATAACAATTTGTTCCCTTTGATGTCATAATTCCCACAAAACAGGCCAACACTGCCCGTCCAACAAAGTCACCACCAAAAAAGGTCATACACTAATATTTTGTTTGACTACAGCACACATTCGCTGTGGCTTTTTTTCTATAAGCTTCCCATCCAGTGTTGCAGTAATGTTTCACAAAGATCTTGTATTGATGATTGCAGAGACTGACCGCTGCACAAAGCCTTCTCCAGCACATCCCAAAGATTCTCATTGGGGTTCAGGTCTGGACTCTGTGGTGGTCAATCCATGTGTGAAAATGTCTCATGCTCCCTGAAACAATCTTGAACACTTTGACCCACATGAATCCTGGCATTGTCATCTTGGAATAAGCCCGTACGATCAGGGAAGAAAACATCTATTGATGGAATAACCTGGTCATTCAGTATTTTCAGGTAGTCAGATGACCTCATTCTCAGAGCACATCCTGTTGCTGAACCTAGACCTGACCAACTGCAGCAAGCCCAGATCATAAACCCATTTTAGTCATTTCTGCATCTCCTTCGATGTTTCTCTGCTTTCTCTGCATGCGAATTATCTGACCCTTCTCAAACAGACCATCTTTTCCACAACCACCAGATGTATCTTTTCACATGATTGTTTAGGAAACGAGAAACAACTCATTGCACCAGTTGAGGTTAAATAACTTGCCATGCTGTAATTATCCAATAGGAGGCTCGTACCAATTTGCTTAGTTGAATGCAGATGGAAACTTGTTTTTTGATGGGCAGTAGGGCTGAATGAATAATTGCAATGTGCAATTAAATTACGATGTGTCAAAAGGATTTCCTAATTGCAAAGGCTGCAATTTGACTGGCAGCAAGTGGTTAGCACAATGCTAATATACATGGAAAAACCCATAGGGATGCTAATGGTAATATCGCGGACTACATTTTACAAATTACAAATTAGGAACGTGCCAAATTATAAAATTTGGAGTCTGAAGAAAAAGTAAAAACTGCCATAAATCAAGTAAGTACAGACAGATATTTTAGTAAATCTAGAAAACCGTCAGTGACTATAACTCCACTGAGTTTTGGCTAGCAGCTATCGATGTAACTACGGAAGCTCTGCATGGACAAGACATCAAAAACTCAAAACACAAAAGACCTCAATAAATGGTAAACACTTCTTTCCTGCTAATAAATTTTCATAGTTGATGCTAATACATATGCTCCTTCAAGGGATGTGCTCCTGGCTGCAAAGCATTGTACCTTCACATACAAAATTTTGAGTTTACTTGTTGACATGATATGTAGATAAATCTGTAGATACATAAACTTGTTTATATTCAGTACAAGTTACATAGAATTTTTTTGCTTCCGTTAGTTGAAAAATATGAGAAAATAATCATGAATTAAATCACAATTGCAATATTGAAGAAAAAAATGCAATTAGATTACTTTCCAGAATCGTTCAGCCCTAATGAGCAGTGTATAATTTTTTTTCCCCTGAACCCACATCTCAAAATTATCTAAAATAGATCTGGAGTCAGGATAAAGATGAATGAAAATTTGAACTAATTTAAAACATGAAAATGAAACAAATCTACATCAAGTCTGACCCAAACACATCCTAAAGCAAGGACATGAATATTTAAATATTGTGAGTCAATTGTGAACAGATCTCTGCTTCAACAAGTTTAGATTCCCGTGACTGTTTCCATGTATTATGACTTTTACATAATGACCCCCCCCCCAACCCCTACCCCCCCACACACAAACATGTTGCTATAAAAATGTAGACACTTAAAAATGTGGACCAACTTCGCAAAGAGTAAATAAAACATAGGGTTGACTATATTTCATTCACCTTAATCTTTTAAAAAATAAAGTTTTGAGGTTTCAACATGAGACCAGTTATGTGTTTGCTGCTCATCAGCCAAACATGAGCATCTAAAACCGCGTCTAGTTTTTTTTTTTTTTAAGCAGGTGATACTTGTGAGGTCAGCCAGCTTCTGCTCGGTGAATGGACAGGAAACAACTCAGCTAAAAGCAGGAAGTGAAGATTGCAGAACACATTTAACTGCTGAGTTCAACAAATCCAGCTTCGTCAGACAACTTGACGCAGTCACAAAACTACATGAAGATGGGATGTGGGGGAGAGGAAAGTTTAGGACGAAGGAAGCCAAAGGAATGGCATCACTGCATGTAGATTACTGGCTTTTAGCTCAGCGTGCTGTTGAGCAGGGTCTAATCTTTAGCATGTGACAGGAGATCACAGCTTTGGCCATTAAATATTCAGAACTTTACATGTTTATTTTTTTACAATGCAGCAGTATATCATCTATAGAAAGAGTAGCAGTAAACATTTATAGTATGCACTACAGATGTTTGAAAATTACAGTTAAGCATGCTTTAAAATCTTTCTACTCATGACATCATCTTAAAGGAGGATTGACACAAGTACACCCACCTCCATTTGTAGCAGAAAAGTTCAACTATGGGCTAAAAACAAATCACTCTGTAGCTAGCTGACAAGAACTTTCATTTATGCTCACACCATCAAAAATGAGGAAGGAAAGGAAGCGTTATGTTCATTTGGACAGTAAGTCTGTACAGCTAGTTACTCAAGACGTTCCTCTCCAGAGCAACAGATTGTTTTCTTGTAGCAAAAAAGACATGAAGTATTAAATAAATTTAAACTATGTGTTGGATAACAGAATTAGTCTACTTCTAGGTCATTGGAGATAAAGTCTCCTCCAGTGTGAAAATATCCTCATCAAGGTTATTCTGCTCAACATAGAAATCACTATTTAACACGTTTACTCTGTAAGCTTGGGAACACGCTGCATTTGGTTCTCCACTTTATACAAAAACACAACACTGTGGCACATTTAACATTTTAAGGAGAGTACAGTAATCAGTGTATCTGCATTTGAGCCATGCGATAGATCATGAGAATCAAACAGTCAGAGCTGCTATAAAAGCAGAGAAGAGCTGCTACAAGTGCCTGGGAAGCACAGGGAGCCAATGTGCACGGTGTGCGTGTGTGTGTTTGGGGAAAAGAACCATATGGGGAAATATGACTGGGCCCAAAGCCACAGAGAATGCTGGGGTCGTAAATGAGAGAAATGGAGGTGTATTTTTCTGAAACTTGTCAAGATGGCTTTTTAGGACACCACAAGACATGTGGGTTTGCCTTCAGAAGGCGTGGAAATTGATATTTGTATGTACAGAAGGCATACCAAAATAGATGGATTGTTTAGAGCTTAAATCAGTATTTAGTAGCAATATAATTAGCACAACCCTACTTAATTAACACAACCCTACTTAGAACAAAAACAAAAAGTTGGTCTTGTAGTCTTCCACAAATTTTCTTTGCTTTTAGCATAAGCAAGAAATTACTTTTCCTCATATCAAAAATATATAAACACTTATGGAAAATCTCTAATTAATAATGTAAAGGTTGTTAAGTGCCACAGCAGAAACATTAGCACCAGTGAATTTAGGCCATAAAGGGCAGCAGCAGCTGATTGACCCACAGACCAACAACACTGTCAATGACTTCCTTCACACATTTTAAAACATGCATTTAATGCTTAGATGACATCCCTAATAAGCATTGAAACCTTCACAAAGAAGTAGGTCAGAGAGACTGCAGGACGTGGGTCAGGGAGAAAAGGCAGAAGAGCAGTCAGGAGAGGATGTTAAATATTCATCATGGCCTCCTGTTTGCTCTGCTGCCAGCGTGAACAACCAGCAGGGACTGCAGATCATTTAAAACCTAAACGAGAACATTTACGAATGCAAAGTTATAACACCCATCTCAAGTTAAAAAATAGTGTATTGATAATGGGTGAAGCTGTTAAAGATCATGCCTAAAGGTCAAACGTTTACCTCCCTTAAATTTCATCTGAATAGTTTCCAGTAGGGTTGTCACGATACTAAAATTTCAAACTCGATTCGATACTGGAAAAAAATTCGATGCTCGATTTCGATACTATTTAAAAACACCAATTTATTGAACAAGTTTATTAAAAAAAATAACATTCCTCAATTTATATTGCAAAAATTTAATGTTAAGAATTAAGTGTATAAAGTGCTTAAACCTTTCAAGTATCAGCATTTTTTAAAACGTGCGTACAAAAACTGGTGAAAGTTAACACTTTAAATCATGAATTGTCTCACTATATATACACTATTTGCAGAGTGATGTTTTGCTGCTTAAACTCTGTTTAAGGTGCATTTTTGTCATAAGATGTAATGCCATATGTTTTGTTCTGTACTTTTGAACAACTCTGTTGGTCAATAAAGGGAGAAAATGAATTTCTCCACAGTAGGACAAAGGTACATCTACCGGTAATCTTAATAAAAACAGATTGGCGCATGGCAGTGACGTCATTAAAAGCGCCGGTTAATTAGCCGCAGCTAGTCTGTTCACGCCTAGAAATCCCAGACCCGCTCCAAACAAACAGGGGAATCACGTTAATGATTCCTAACAAAACCTTTCGACATTGAGATGTTTTGGTGCAGATAATGTCTTATTTCGAGGCTGCACCATGGGTGCCCGTCCGCACCCGTTATATGGATATACACTGACAGCGATTCGCCGATGGATCTAAATACCCCGGGGAATCCAAGTAGCACCGAAGTTGTCAGCGTGAGTAAACAAACGTACTGCATGCTAGAAATTAAGTCCGGGTTGCAATAAACGGGAGTTTCCTTTAAGCACATGAGCGTGAATATACAACTACGTGTCGGACTTGGTATGCTAATTAAGTTGGGCTTTGAAGCGCCTCCCAAATTCGCTGTTTATGTTTTTGTTTATTTATTTGGCAGACAAAACTTGGATCGGAGACAACTCGCGTGGGAAATTGCAATGTAGCCATGCGGCGTCTTCTTCTTCAGTTTGTCTGGGAGGCGGAGGTTGCTTTACGGCATCTGGCTGTCATGCGTGTCGGTGTACTTGAAGAAGGCTGCGTATAATAGTCCATAATATCGATACCACAGGGATGGAATATCTAATTTAGATACCACTTTTAGTATCGATTTATATCTAGGTATCGATTTTTTTTGACAACACTAGTTTCCAGAGCGCTCCATTCCAAGTGGACACTGAGGGCACCTCGAGTCTGAGAAGGTTAAGAAGTGGTCCAGCAAATTGATCTTGCAGAACAAGTTTTGTGAAAACAAGTGAAGACATATGCTGTTCACAAAGGGCGGGGTCCAGTGACAGCTGGTGGGATCTGATAGAAAGGCTGTATTCCCTTTTGTCTCACAATGCCCCATTCACACTTTAAATGTGCACTGATGCTAGGTGTCCCAGGTAAAATGTTCCCCAGAGACGATAAAAAGCCTAAAGATTGAGCATTGCTTTAAGATATAAAAGGAAAACAAAAACCCTTTGGATCCAAAGTGCTTCCAAAGTTTTAGGTCCCAATAAAGGAAGGTTTTACATTACAGAAGAAGCAAAGAAGCTAATCATAAGCACTTTTCAAGGCCAATAGGAAATTACAGGCACTTCCTGTGCTTGTGACTTCTGTGTCTAAAACTCAATGACCAAGTAGAGAAATGCTGACTTTTATTTTTTCATATGAATCAAATCTGCCACACTGATTAATTTAGTAACTTGAAAACTGATTTTACTATTTTGGATGAACAACAACTTGTACTTTCCTCTACTTTTCCACTGTAGGCACCTCTCAGGATGACAACATACCTTCCACAGTCTTATGACATTTTGAATTCATTATTAATAGAAAAATATTGTACTACATTAAAAAGAGAACCCTTATTTTAATTCACTGCTTTTAGTATTATGACTGGTTTGCCAAAATGGGTGGCCATTTTATGAGGACAAAGTCCACACGTCATAAAGACTACATGAGCTCAGAAATTCCTCTGTGCCAAAGTCTGTACTCTGCTCCCGCTAATAAACCCTAAACAGGGTGGTTGGTGGTGTGTGACAATATCTGGTGTCAAATGTAAGCAAACGCACGTGCAGACACATACCTTGCACAGTGCAATGTGCAGAACAGTAACATGCCTGCTGAAATTATGAGATGACACAGCTAAAAACGTCTGTGTGAATTTAAACACCTATAAAAGAGAAACTTCAGTACAAAATGCTGCATTTTTCATTCCAATGTGTGCTTAAATTTACCTCCAGACACTACTGACAAAGAAACACTGATAAGTGACTTTGATAAGCTCTTGACAGCATTTTACTTTTAGTTTACGAAAAGGATCTTCTTTGTAACTTCAATTAAAAAAACATTCAAATGAATTATTCCACTCCTAAGTTTTGAATCCAACCCATTAAACTTTACCATTAAAGTCTGCACAACCATAAGTTAAAATATTTTCAGTTTGTGGTTAGCTTTAGCAAAAAGCTAAGTCGTTGCTTCAACCTAACTGGACAAGTTTCCTGTTTGATAAATAAATACAGATAATTGATTATTTATGAATATATTCATATGCTAATGTACGAGGTGTTTTAGGGCTTTTAACGTGACACTGACTGGAACTTGGACCAGTTGGTCAAAAAGATTTAATCTTCAACAGTTTGACGTTTATAGCTCATTAGCATTAGCCGAAACGATAACAAACACCAAAGCTGCGCTGCTGAAGGGAAACTTGATTTCTGATAGCATTAGCTTTGTTAGCGCTGTGTCAAAACGTCATTAAGACATTTCTTTGCTCGGATACACGTCGCCAGCTGCTAAACACAGCCTGTTAAAAACTCTGGGCCTTTTTAGTGTCTGCTGCTGCCATGAGACCATGTCGTGTGATTAGTAGCAGCGTTTGTTACGCAGCTTTGTGGACATTTTCAAAACAGTTGGGGCTCTGAAGGCTAGAAGCTCGTAGCCCCACTCGATTCAGTCTAATGGACATTTCGGCTGAGCCCGCACTTGACAAATTACACCGGATTAGACCAAATTATGGCCAACATATTTTTGGCACATTAGTGCATAATATCGCCGCATTTCTCCCTTCACACACGTTCGATCAATTTGAGTAATTTGACTTACATTACTTTTTTTTCTTTTTCTGGCCTCATCGGCAGCGGCTGCCTTCTGCTTCTTGAGGTCTGGCCTTCCCTTCCGGTTAGCAGTTTTTCCGGGAACCTCCCACTTATTCTGTCAGCGGCTGCCAGTCTCATAGACATACAACGACGTAGATGCAAAAAAAAAATGTATGCGTTAACGGCGCCGCCATTTTGGAAAGGACAAGCGCCCCAACCACTTAAAGAATATCCACAAATATGCAACTTTGATTTTTGGATTTTTATAGTAATTTTTGAACTGCTGAACAAAAATTAATACTCTCCTCTTCATACACGCATGCACACACACACTCAGACTGAAAAGTTTTATTTATTTTTACTGCACACGTTCACAACACTTAATTCAAACAGTTCACAGTTCAACCAAAAAAAACTTTCACCAAATATACAACATTAATGAGGAAGTAAATATTTTAGCTTATGTTTTCTGATCATAACTCTTTTAAAACATTCACCTAATCTTGACTGTGGACAAAACAAAGAAGATGACTGTAGATTCCAGAAGAAACACAAATAGGTCACATTGTTTGCATCATGAGAGATGAAGTGGAGGTGATCAAAGAACATAAATACCTTGGTGTCCATCGTCCATGTATGCAACAAACTGACCGGAGACTCAGTAAAGCAATCTACAGGAAGGGACAAAGTAGATTGTACTTCTTCAGGAAGCTCAGGTCTTTCAAAGTTTGCAACAAGTTGCTAGCCCGGCAAGCCAGACTAAATAAATACATTATTATAATCAATATAATATAGCTTTTCAAAGCAAGAATTTGGTCAAGTTCACCAGGCTAGCAAGATGCTGCATATCTTTTGTAAGTCTTTTGTGGAAAGTGTAATCACCTGGGCCATCACCTGTTGCCAGGTGCCAGTATCAGACCTAAAAAGGCTCAACCTGTTGAAAAGGCTGGTTCTTAGCTTACTTGATTCAACTGTTTAACAGCTTCTATGTTTTGTATTTTCAGCTGTTGGTATTTGTCAAGCTTGATGTGTTCCTTTGTCCTGATATTACAGTCACTTTTTTCTACTGCCTTGTTCTGTAATCTGCATGATTGGTTAGCAGTTACTTGATAGTCTTGATTTGTAAGTTCCATCATATCTTAGCAATCTCATTCTCCACCGTTCTCTGTACTTCCTGCTTTGTGGAATTTCCAGCTCACACTTCATTATACTGTTTAAGCCAAGTAGTTGCACTAATAGTGTCGTCCAAATTTGGAGTAAATGGTCAGATGGTCCTTATTTAAATCCTGTGCTACCCAGATTCTAGGGACCTCAATACAGAATGAACAGGTTATAATAATTATAATGATGACATGTTGGCTTGGACACCTCTCAAATGAATAAGGTCCACATTAGATTTTGGGAAATCAGGACATTCTGAAGAGAACCAAGCTACTGGAACAAGATGTTCATGATGGGAACAAAGTTTGATGTAAAGGATGTGGGAACTATGCTGGGGCGACTGTGGCTGAAATGGGGAAAGTGGCTGTTCACTGTGTGGAAGGTGAGCTGCTTGATCCCCAGTCCCTAGAGGCTACGTGCCGAAGCATCCTTTGGCAAGAACAACTCAGAGAGTTGCCTTGGGGTGCTATACTGATGGAAGCCCACCGCTCTTCAAAGATCTGTCAAATGCTGACAATGATTTCCCCAGAGGATCAATAAGGTGGTAGAAATCATAAAATTTTAAATCGAAACCTAACATTCAGACTATGAAACTCCCTTGGACCCAGAGTTCCAACATTACCAGTGTAGCATCATGAAGGAACTGTTTTCTGACCTAAAGGTCCCCTCTCCTCCGGAAGAACTAATCTACTTCTGATATGCTCAATGCCTTTTGATGCCTCTGCATCTAAACTGTTTAACTAGCTATTTGCCTACCCCTACAGCTCAAGAGAAGAAAGAAGACCAAAAACTCTTTCTCTAATAAATAATGATCAAATACCAGAGAGAATTATAAGACACCTTTCGTCAAACTTTTTGACAGGTCTATTGTTCTTTGACCTTTTTGACCTTTCAGTCCTATTGTTCATTTGACCCTTGACCTTGCCCCCCCTTCCTATCATTAATCAAATGGACAGGTGTATTGTTCAATCTTTCCCCCCCCTTCCGTATCATTAATCAAATGGACATGTGTATTGTTAATTGTCCAGATGGCCTAGACCCCCCACGCCGCATCATCAATGGCGTATTGTTGAACGTGTCCAGATGTCCATGATCCCCACGTCATAGGCTAATGTGTGTAATGGCGTGTGAAGTTTCTTTTTGTGATAGCCCATCGGTTCCCACAGCCCCCCTCCCTTCTGAGTGTAATTCTATTGTGTATAACTCTTTAAAAGCTCAGATCTGTCCGAATGGTGAAAAGCCGAGCTCTAAGAAAAAAATGGCTCACTGACAGTGGATGAGTGCGGCCTAACTGCTGTGAATGACAGCCCCACACACTGGTTAAGTACGTATGAAATGGTTGTACGTCTCCTCAAAGTTAAAGAATCTGTTTGTGAAGTAGCAAACAAGATGGGATGGTCTGCTTGCTCTCGAGTGGGTGGCATAAGCTGAAGTCAATGCAAGAACTTTTGCAGCCTTTTGCTGAACACACACACAAACTCTTCAGAGTGACACATTGTCTATGTCATTAATAATCTCTTTGATTTATTCAGCCATCTGGCATATGTTCACGTTGGATTTCGTATGTTCAGTCTTAAACTTTGTGTTTAAATGTGTTATTTACATGCAGCTCTCAGACACTTTTTGACCAGAACTAAAACTATTGTGTAAAACTTTCTGTCTAGCAGCACCTCAAATAATGGATGAATCATCAGAGGCTGTAAGCACACACACACACACACACACACACACACACACACACACACACACACACACACACACACACACACTCTGTTGTAAACCACCCTGCATACTCAAGCCTATAAGAATAAAAGTTGATCCTTACCTCAGTGTGACGCTTTTAGTCGACAACTCACAAAGCAAATGGGATGGTCTGCTTGCTCTCGAGTGGGTGGCATAAGCTGAAGTCAATGCAAGAACTTTTGCAGCCTTTTGCTGAACACACACAAACTCTTCAGAGTGACACATTGTCTATGTCATTAATAATCTCTTTGATTTACTCAGCCATCTGGCATATGTTCACGTTGGATTTCGTATGTTCAGTCTTAAACTTTGTGTTTAAATGTGTTATTTACATGCAGCTCTCAGACACTTTTTGACCAGAACTAAAACTATTGTGTAAAACTCTCTGTCTAGCAGCACCTCAAATAATGGATGAATCATCAGAGGCTGTAAGCACACACACACACACACACACACACACACACACACACACACACACACACACACACACACACACACACACACACACACACACACACACACACACACACACACACACTTCTCTAAGAAGTAAAAGGATTACATTCAAACATTTGTCTTTGACTAAACCATTCAAACATTTCTCTCACTTCACAAAAGCAATGGTTTACCATCCTAAACCATTTATGGTCCTGTTGTAAACCACCCTGCATACTCAAGCCTATAAGAACAAAAGTTGATCCTTACCTCAGCGTGATGCTTTTAAGATCTGTTGAGCTTTTTTAAAGTTCATTCTAAACAATTTTGCACGGCCAGCGACTTCTGACAAAGCAAATGACTTCTTTTTTTGCAGGTGGCGGGAAAGTTTTAAAAACAAAGAACTGGTTGAACCAAATCGTCACAGAAACAACACACAAAAAGCAAATTACTTACTTTTTTGCAGGTGGGCTGTATTGAAAGAGTGGCGGGAAAGTTTTAAAACAAAGTTCTGGTTCATTCTAACCAAGTCGGCATGGTAACAATTCACAAAAGCAAATGACTTGCTATTGTTTCAAAGAGCTATTTAGGTGAACAGCATCCTTTGGTTCGTCATCATCAACACTGAAAGCTTAACCATCGCCTCCTGCCTTTAGTGTCACATTTTGTGACTTTTTGTTTTCACTGTCACACACACACACACACACACACACACACACACACACACACACACACACACACACACACACACACACACACACACACACACACACATTGCTTCCTGCCTCAGAGAAAAGATTTGATCCATTTTGTAGGACCTATAACAGCTGAAATAAATAAAAAGCTGTTTATGAGGTTTGTTTTTTGGGAGGGGTGGATTAGTAAAGTCTCAGAGCAGACGTACCTCTGGTCAAACCTTTAATGTCATACCTCTCAGAATAGTTAAACTAAGGCACATGCATGCCGTAAACGGATTTACACACGAGCGAAGAAGAAGAACCGATGGATACGTGTTTTGATTATAACCTTCCTCTGCTAAAAACAACGTTCGAATTGAGACATGATGAGATTTCAGGAAGAAATGTCCGGTACAAAAACGGTACGGTATTATTTTTTGGATCGTAAAGGTTTTTTTATTTCTGCTCCGGGGAGTTTTGATGAAGCAATGGATACGAGCACACACACACACACACACACACACACACACACACACACACACACACACACACACACACACACACACACACACACAACTCTAAACACCCATTCATACATTTGTCTACCTATACAACAAAGCAAATGACTATGTATTGTTTATAAACATTTTTTTTTTCGACCAATCGCAACCGTTTTCTATTCAAGATTTTTTTAAACAGCTGTATAAAATGTAAACCCGCATTTTCGGAGTCGTGATTTGAGGTGTAACAAGCTAAGATGACGGGTAAGTTTTTAACTCAAGACGCAAATCTTTTTTTTCTCTTTCTGGTTTAACATCTTTATTTTCAGACGCTATTGTCATATCGGACGGCGAGTGGGAAGAAATTCCTATTGAGGAATTAACTTGTAAAACTCCGGTACCTTCCCCCCTGGATGATTTGTCTAAAATTAATCGCGCGGTCGAGAATCTGAGTGAGTGGATTTTATAAATATATACGTAACGTTCTTTTCTTCAGCTGAGAAATATCTCATTTTACAGAAAAGGAGGGGGTTCAACCTTACCCCGGAAGTGATAACTTTTACCCAACCACGCCTCCATCCACCAGCCGAACCGTCTTACATCCGTATCAG